CAAGGCATGCAAAAGTAGGTGATCTGAAATTATTTTCCCTAATGACATTTTCTTTCTGGATGCAAATAAAGTTGTGTCTGGACTTGTATCTGTATAATGCAATTACATGGCTTGATACAAACAGACACGATAACTACAATCCTAAATTAAATAACTGCACATGAAAATTCCATGAAAACATACTTCTGGTATTTAATATCCCTTGTTCACCTGTCAGCAACCAGCATCACGGCCATTTTTCTGCTGGTTTTTAAGACAAAATAGTGAAATCTTCATTCTAAAGCAGTAAACATTCACTCTTGCCATGACTGACTGTGGATTTTTACTAAAGTTAATGCAAAAGTCCCAGGAAGCAGTGGAAATTTCTCTATTAATGTGCCTATAAATATGTGCTAGTAATTAAGTAGAAGTTGCATAATTTATTCTGTCCATGCTGCAGATACTTTAATTGAAACTTTTTTCCTTGAGAAAAGTGATGGCACATTGCTTCAGGTATCTGCAGTAATCAATACCCCCATCCTGAGAAGAACACAGCATGAATAAATTAAAAATGTGACTGAAGACTGGGAAAAATGCTGATTATATATTGTTATAACCTACAGAGATAAACTGCATCCATATGCCAATAGTTTTCATACTTCTTAACAGAAGGATATATCCTAAATATCTTTGTGTCCAAGGCTGGTTGGACAGGGCTTGGAGCAACCTGGGACAGTGGAAGGTGTCCCTGCCATGGCAGGGGTGGCACTGGATGAGCTTTAAGGTCCTTTCCAACCCAAACCAGTCTGGGATTCTATGATTCCATACAGGAAAAAACAGACACGTGAAAACAAATGTCACACTGGAATTTGTATATAAACCAATCAGAGCATGAAGAACAAGTAAGGTTAACAAAGAGTTTGTGTCTGTCTTCTGAGGAAGCAAAGGTAAACATTTAATAAAATCCCATTACGGCACTCATTGTGGGTACTTAATTCCATGCCACTGGCCAATTTTTATGCTGGGTCTCAAATTTTGTGCTGGAGTGAGAAATTCATCAAATCTGTGCAAAACCTGATTTCCAGGGGTGACGTCAAGCTCTCTCTGCTGGGAACGTGGGAGAAGAGCTCTCTCTGCTGGTGCTTTCCTGGAAAAATCCTGCTGGGATGGAAATAAATGCGGGATAACAAACGGCATCCCCAGCTTTGTTCAGCCGCAGCTCCCCAGCTCTGCTGCTGCCCATGGCTACAGAAAAGCAGAATTTGGCCAAATTCACCTGTTGGATGCTCTCAGCTGCACGAGTGTGAGCAGCCTGGATTTGGAAGGCACTCCCCAAAGTACTTTAAAAACCCAGCAAAAAGAAATGGGATTTGCTTTTACCTTCGAGGAGGGCAATGACTCCTTTAGATCAGCAGGGACAGAGGCGGCTCTGTCGGGATTTTCTGGCCGGGATTTTCTGCTCCAAACCAGCAAAACTCCACCTCTGGGTGACTGGGAGGATTCTTGCTTTATGCCATCTAAAAAAGTGAATGACAGCAGGTCAGAAGTGACCTTTATCTGCACGCTGCGAGGATGCTGGGCGGAGTGAGAACATTTTAAATCCAGATGTGGTCCAGGAGAAGCCAAAAGCTCAGCCCCAACCCCTCCTGTGGCTTTGGTGCTTTGCAAGTGCAGGAGAGAGAGATGCTCACCATCCTTAGGGAAGCACAGAGACTCTGACGTGGGATTTCCAGTGGTTTAGGGCTCATCTGTGGGTACAGAGCCAATGCAGGAGGGGCTGGCATGTCCCCATCCCTGTCCCCAGCCAGGCTGGACAGGGCTTGGAGCAGCCTGGGATAGGGGAGGTGTCCCTGCCCATGGGGCATCTGGTCCCCTTACCCAGCCTGGTCACAACTCACCTCTGCGAGGAAGAACAACAGAAGAAATCAGGAAAAAGCAGATAAATAGGGCTCCCTTCTTAAGCTTTTGGTTTCCTTGTTGTAAACAAGAATAAACCCCCATGATTTCAGTAAATGTGGTTATAAACCAAATAAACTCGCTTTTAACAAAGCGTGGGTTCCAGCACGTCGCCAGATGTTGAATTATTTCATCAAATGAAATGATGCCTTCACTTATTCCAGATTTTTTTTATATACAAACTAAATATATTGCTTAATACATTTTTTTTTAATATAAAACCATGGCAGTATTTTAACAATACGCCCATGCATGGATTCCTACTATAGTATTAATTTGCTTTATATTCAGCATAGAAGAAACAAAAATTGTGCAATTTTGAGGCTCTATTTCTACACAAAGGATAGGGTATTTTAGGATTTATTAAGGCAAAAATATCAAAAACCAAAAAGAAAGTTAAATTTTCAGCTGTCATTAATTTGTAGATTGTGAGCTCACATTGCCTACAGGTAATACACAGAGAAATGTTTATTTTGTGAAATCTATAAAGAGAACTTGAAGTTATTTCTAAATGCAAACATTATACAAAATTTGCATTTCTACAAATGAAACTGTTTTTTATGTCATATTACAATAAAAATCAAGACACAATGTCGTGAACAAGACTTTCAGACCAATTAGGCATACAATTACATGTGCAGGAGGCATGCACAATTGTGCAGCTAATTTGTGCATGAAATTACTTTGATTGCACATCCTAATTGGATAAATGTGTGTGCAAATGCCAGCAGTCATTGGTGCTGCAATTATCCAATGCACATCCATAGTCATGGCAACTGCCTGCAGAAATGAGATGCAGCCTTGCATTCCTAACTGGGCTTGGGATTTCAGCTGAAATCCTTTTTGTTTTCTCCTACCAGGTCTCCTGGACATGATATTTCTGGAAATTTCTTACTTATTTCCTATGCAGATGAGGCAAAGTGATGGACATGGGCATTGCCATGGAATCTGATTGTTAATTGTTTTGCTCAGAAGAGGAAAAGCTGGGAGTTCTTGTCCAGAGGTGTAGCACCTTGATAAGGCAGAAGATTAAAAATGTCCAGCAGTATAAACCACAGCAGGAACAGGCAGGTTTATTTTCCTGGCTCTTACCTGAATTAGCATTACAAAATGTACCACAGGGTGTAATTGTGGTGGGACCCCTTGGCCTCAGCCCACAGAAGGTTCTGGACCATCACCACTGGCTCAGTTTGGACTTTCTGTGGAATTGTTTTCATGAACCTCCTTGGCAGTAACTGATAGAATTAATAAATGTGAAAAATCTTCTGTCTTCTCACAGAGGTTCTCAGTAAATCCTCCAAACAAGAGAACCATCTCTGTACAATTAACTTCAATGGCCACAGTATTCAACATTAAAATGAAAATAAATTCTTCCATTTGAAAGCCATGGAGTTAAAATACATATCCAGTCTTTTAAGTAGGGGCCCAAATCCTGAATGAATCCTGAAAAGAAACAGTTGTTTACCTTATTTCTTTTGTATTTAAAGAGCTCTCTAAACATCCAGAGATACAGAAAAATGCTTTTCAATAAGAATGGTCTGTTCAAAGGAGTCTGGTGGGGTTTGAAAATTGATGGGGCAGATGTTCCATAAAATCCTTTATGGCCCTGGAAGATCCTCATCTAAACAGATACCCAGCAGCTCAGAAAAAGCAGAAGGGTGAGGGTCAAGTTAATGCAAACTCTGTGTTATCAACCCACCAAGAGCCACGAAATCAAGCACTTCCAAAGCACTCTCAGGAATTTTAAGGATTTTCCTCAGCCAGATGAGTTTATTTTGCTCACAGAATGTATGTTATTATGAGTCTATCTTAGAAATGAGTGAAACAGCTTCCTCCCACAATTGTCTGTGATTCTGGTCACACTCCTTGAAAAAAATTGAAGTACAGAACAGACCAAAGGTCTCTGCAAAACAGCAAAGGAATTATCGAAGCTAAGAAAAAAACAAGATGTAAAAAATAGGACATTTTTCTTTAGTCAAGATGTGCAAGAAAAGAATGATAGATAAAATAGTGAACCTTTAAGGAAGTAAATTAAGTGATTACTCTGTTTACTCTCATAACAGAGGCAGAAAAATGAAGTACATTTAAATCTAGACCTAAGGTACAGCCACTTCCACAACATTCCCTCAGTTTCCCCTCCCACACTGAATTTTACTCCAACAGCTTTTGCCTTGAGAGCTCTTCGTGTCATGGGTTTTGCAGTGATAAATCTGATCCCCAGGGAGACTCCTAAATCTCATCTGGGATTTTGGGCAGGTCACAGCCTCCTGCTGGAGTTTTTTTGGCCCCAAAATGGGGCATCAGCCCTGCTCATGAGGCTTCCAAGTGTGCCCCAGCTGTGCCAACAGCTGCCTGACAGAAACCCCATCAAAGCAAGAACCAGGCCATGTATTAAACCCCATAATGCTGGAAGGAGGTGTGAGAGGAGAGATTTGGGGTTTGATAGCTTTTCTATCATAATAAAGACGGAGGGATAGCAGTTTTGGAACTTGTTGATATGCATGGAACTCCAGGAGCTCCTGTTCTTTCACTGCAGTGCATCTATCACAGCTATTCTCTTCCAGGACATAGAAAAATGATTCAGCAGAAATTGAAGTTCCTCATTTCTATGCTGCAAGGGCTCATGTTCATTTCCAGGGCACTTGAGAGCCTCAGAAGGATAGTTCTTGTTAGCATGCAGCATCCCTGGCCCCCAGCTGCCCTGCTGAGGACACTCCATCAAGGAAATCACAGCTCTGCTGCTCTCTGTAAGTGATGCCCTGCTGTCCCCAGGCCTATTACACCGGCCCTGGGAAATGTGTCCCTTGTCACCTGGGGAATTTGGAGTTTTCAGCAGTTTGCTGCCATCAGGCGTAACACAGCTCCCCTTTTTTCTGCAGATGGCAGTGTTCTCTACGTACAGGGGAGGAGGAGGAATCTAAAATGGGCTGTTACATCTAAAGAGCCTTTTAAAGTGTTCCAAATTCTTACAGCTTTACTCCAAAACCTGTGTATTACAACTACTATCCACTTCTGGCAGCAGTAGGAAAGAAAAATTCATTTCTCCAACACGGGGTACAAAACACTTTTGGGATTTTTTGTTGGTTTTAATAATTTTTAAAACACTCTTCCCATGGAAAGAATGTGAAAAAAATAGATGCAGTGAAGATGTCACAGTCAGGTCTTGTGATTATCTATAACTAGAGCTGCAGTAATTGTTTTTGTTGTTGTTTTGTTGGTTTTGTTTTTGTTTTGGGACTTTTAAAAAATGTTTAACTTTAAAAGTGCTTGTACAGAAAAGCCAAACTAAGCACCCGTGGTTCCAGCATTATTTTGTCAGTCAAAAAGATCAAGAGTATGGACAATTTGAAAGGAAAATGGTATAACTGACATTGGCACAACTGGCCAATTGCAGCCTCTAGTCCCCCATTGTTTCCTATTCAGAGAACTTTGTATTTCTCTCTAAGTTTCAGCCCTGAGCCATCATTTTTTGTGTATCCAGCTTCAGGTCTGACAACATTTCAGCATTTGAATTTTTTCCCTCTGGAAATACGTATTAAATGGTATAAAATGACAAAGTAGTCGCCAGAGCAAAAAGTCACCATCAGCAGTAGATAAAAATTGCTAAAAATCTTAATCCAAAAAATTATCTAAATGCATATTTGTCTTACATTCCAGTGTCAGCAGAGCTTGCTCCTTTTGGTGCTCTCAGGGAAGGACAAGGAGAGGAGAGGGCTGTGTTTCAGTTTAGCTTCACTTCAGAGACTCCTGGTTCTCATTTAACATCAAATCTCTCAGTGCTGCTCAGCTTCTTGCACTCCTTTATGTCCATCAGCTCTTCCCCAGTCTAAGTAAAAACAGTTTATAGGTTGTTGGGAAAGAGATTAAAACACCTCAGCAAACATTTGGGCAGTTTCCCTTCAACCCTCCAGCTTCTCCCAGGACCCCTCTGTTTGGGGGCTCCGTTCCTCTTATTACTTGGCAGTAATTTAACCAATTAAAACAGGTCTCTAATCACAGCATTAACATCTAAAAATTACCACACATTTTCTACTTGAAGAGCAATAATTTCCTTTAAATGAGCAGCTCTGATTTCTGTATGTAGTGACAGGATTTCAGTCTTGAACTGCAGCAGTTACTGCCTTGTCTGGACTCACCTACTCTACCATAGCAGAAAATTCAAATTTTGAGGACTTTTTGAGCAAGAAAAGCCATCACTTTCCCTGTCTGCTTTCTTCACAGTTTTCAATGCTGACATTGCTGGAGGTTCTGATCCTTGCTGTGCTTGCATTAATGGGGTTTTAGCAAACAAACCTCCATCCAATGAAATTATTTGTAGGCAAACAGTTTATCCTATTAAGTTCTTTTTTAGATGCACAGGTGTTTCATTAGCCTGACTTACACTTGAAGCTCTTCTCTACATCCTCTAAGTTCTTCAGCACTGTTTACAATTTAAACCCCAGAATTAATGAGAAAACACTGTGGAGTCAAAAATTAAACCTCCCTGGCCTCGGCAGGGCACAACCCAATTTTTATATTATTATTAAATTTATCCCACATTGCACAGCATTTGCTGGGAGGTTCTGTTGAGTCATTGAGTGATTTTTCAAAGTCCCTCCCTGCCTGGACACAGTGTCCATGCTGTGGCTGGGAGCTCTTTTCCCTGGGCTGCAGCAGCATTAACACATAGCTCATTATAATGGCTCTGCTCCCATTTCCAGCTGCATTACTGAGCATAATGGCCCTGTCCTTGTCAATGCTGATTAAGCCATAATCATCTTGTCAGTGGCAAATGTTCGGAGTGGTATTGCAATATTTATGTTACATTATTGATAAGAATATTGAAAGCATTAGACTTTTCCACCCTGGCAGAAAAGCTGCCTTTCCAAGGGTATTTTCCATTGTTGGCTCGGATCTATTTTACATTTTACTCTGTTCCCAATCCTCTGCTCATTTGTTGTGTTATAGCACAACCTGCACCTAAAATATACATCTGTGCAAATGGCTTTATGAACATGAATTTGGAAGAATGAGATAAAATTCATCTAGTGATTTCTGTCATCCACAATACCATGCTGACTGGCAAAATTCCCTACAAACCTTTCCTCTTCTATTCTTTGCCTGGGATTCCTGATGTTAATCAGCCTATAAGTAATTATCACAAACCCTACTATCAAATAAAAACTAGAAATTGAGTCTGGTAGAAAAAGAGCAAACACACACTTGGAAAATCCTAATCTACAATGATGAGACTTGTAAAAAATGGCAACGTGGTTCCTAATATTTATTTCTCTGTGCCAATTAAATTTTGAACAAACTCCAAAAGTGAATGGATCCCACTAAAGCTAAATTCCATAGGCTGAGCTTTTATGGGAATAGCACTTAGAAGCTAAGAATGCAATAAAATACTGTTAGAAATCCTGCAGACAGGACAGGTTGTGTGAAATTAGGCAAGGACAATTCGGTAAAAAGTTAGAGGAAGATCTGAAAGCATTTTATGACTACAACAAGCTTGCTCCTAAAGAATTGCACACATTTCAAGGAAAGCTCATTGGAAATAAAGTCACTGAGCTCGTGCTAAAACCAGAATTGTATGAAGATAAAATGGGCACTGTGACTTATAAATGGAACTACTACAGCACTTGTTTGTCATATTTGAATGAATATGAACAAGTTTTTAAAAATTAAAATAATTAATTTTATTTAAGATGTACTTTTTTTCTTTGAGCAGCTTTCTATTTTATATTAATCCTGCTAAGTGCCTGCCCCTGAAAATGCTGCGTGTGATGGAGCAAACCTGGTGCCTTGACTGAGAGAGAACATTTTCAGCTAGATTAAAGTCAGCAATGCGTTTTAAAGGCTGAGAATTTTGTGGTATTTTCCTGAAACGTCCAAGTTTCCCTTTTCACTACGTGAATACCTGGAGAATTGCTGCTGAAAAGCAGAGTTACCCCGAGCTCCCTGGCTGCCACGAGGCATCCGTGTGTTTCCTCTTGCCTTTGATGAACACCGAGCAGCCAGCGCAGCCATCTGGTCAGGGAGAGAGGAATTGTGTAAAAATGAGATATGCGTGTGTAAATAAAAGATTGATGAATGAAGCCCTGAAAGCTGAGATGAAAGTGAAGCAGAACAGACAGGTAAATCATTTTGATACTTATGTTGGTGCTGAAATTATGTTCCTCCACTTTTTTTTTTTTTTCCCCCTTTCTGCTGACAGCAGTGCAGGTGACAAAGAATACTTTCAATTTTGCTGCTGACACAAGTGCTGGAGGTTAGCAAACTGTTTGAGTTCTATTGCCGAGGAAGGATGCTTTAGTCAGAAGTGAGAAAGTTTTGTGGCTTCATTTTTAATTACTTGGTTCTTTAGCTATGAAGCTCCAGCTTCAACGTTACCTCCAGAGCAGCCTAGGCTGACTTGCCAAAAGTGATGCTGTGTTTAGGAAAAAATGTAAGTTCTTTATATCTTCTGGCAGAATTTTAAAGCTAGAGTCCTTCCCCCACAGGTCTCTGAATTTTCAAGAAATAAAATATTATTTTTAGCCAAAATAAAATGGGAGTAAAATCCAAGCAATTCTTAACAGGCAAGCTTCATCTAGGAGCCCATTAGACTGAAAATGTAATTAGGATTTGTTTTTTATACGAAAATTAAGCTGACATTTGAGCAATGAACAAAAAAAAAGATGGTGATATGCAAAAAAACCCACTGCAACTCATTTTTCACATAACTGATTGCTGTCTGACATTACAGAAAGTTTACTGAGTCCACCTACAACTCCAACACCAAGGAAAAGTAACCAGTAACTCATCCATTATCGGAAATATCTGAAATACTCACTGCTTGTGTGTTGGTGCATTGGGCATTTTATAAATTTAAAGCCAGCAGCAGGCTCAGCTCACTCCCATTTTACAAAACATCCATGGAACAGACTCATTTTGTAGATCAGCAGTATCAGGCTTATTCTGAGTTACCTCAGCTCCTTATTCAGAGCCTGATATTTCATGTAAACTATAGGAGCATGCAAATCACCACATTTACTTTTGATTATTGCTTTTGTGTTCTGCGGCTGTTGGTTTCCTGAGAGTTTAGGAGATCCACCATGAGATAGAAAAGACATTTAGGAGATCCACCATGAGATAGAAAAGGCTTTCCCCACCAACTTTCTGCAGAAGAACATCTGCAACTGAGCAGCTTTGAGTCCACTAAAAAGCCAGGATTTATCTGCTGCTTATCACTTCATGTGACAGAATAGTTTTGTGGGTAATTTTCAAAGGCAGAAGCAGGAATTTGACACAGGCTTTTTCTCTAAATCACAGTTTAAGAGTTCATTCACATGTTGAACAGGGAAAGAAATCCCACACAAATATATACAGACAGTTATATTTAAATAAAACAAAAACCAATCCAAACCTTTTTACACTTGGGATAGCCATTCTAGATTCCATCTAGGCATTAACATCCCTGGCAATGGAAAGTTCTTGAATAAAATATACTGCAGACTCCTTGACAGAGAAATGCTGGCAGTTCACCACACAAATTACTATAAAAATCAAAGGTATAGAGTAACTTATCTGTAATTTGAAGTGGAAGGATAAAACAGGAACAATGCTTTAATCTGTGCTCCACTGTTTATTCCATAGGGAAATTAATTAACTTCTTAAATTTGTTTTTGCAAGTGATAAAACAGAGATACTAAATATCAGTCATCATATCAAGGCAAAAATCAGAAGAGTGTTAAAGGTGGCAAAGAAGCATAATTATCATGAATCCCATAGAAAGAAAAGGGAATACACTCCTGACATGAAAAAGATTATTTTCTTTGAGAAAAGGCAAGATTAAGGAGGAATAATGTACGAGTCCTGGCACATTATTTAATATAATATGTATTGGACAATACTGAAACAGAGTCACAGACACAAGACAACAAAAGAGCCTGAGCAGCTGTCCCAGCCAAACCTCAACAACTTTCCCTGCCAGCCATGCTTGGGAACACAAGGGTGTGGGTGGAAAAGAATTGATTTTGGTAAACAGAATTCTACTCCAGTTGTATGAAATTCCTGACAACAGCAGTATTGTAAATGCAGGTGAACCTGGTGGGAAGAAGTGCTGATGGCTGACTCCAGTTCAGAAGGCTGAATGATTTCTTTATTATAACTATACTATAATGCATTAATATACTATTTAAAGGAGATACTAAAACTACAAACCTACTTTCTCTAACTACCAAATCTAACTCCCAACTCGTTCCCCTCTCTCCACAGTCCAGCCCCAGGTGGGTTGGATTGGCCATCAGGCTCAAACAATCCTCACCAGAATCCAACCAAGCAATCACCACAGGTAAACAATTCTCCAAACACATTCCACATGGAAAAAACAAGGAGCAGAAAGAGAATTTGTTTTTTCTTTCTTCTCTCTGTGCTCCTCTATGAAAAAGTCCTGAGAGAAAAACGAATCTGCCTGCAACACAGCAGCATCTCCAAGACACCAGTTCTTAATTCAATCTTTGTGCCTCCTGAATGTCACAGTTTGAGATCTCTTCACACACGAGAGGAAGTTTCCAAGGAGGATGCAGCACAGGGCAAGGGAAGAGCCAGGTGAAGAATGAATGGACACAGAATGAATCTCTTGGGCTGAGAGACCCTGGAAATTCTGTGTCCAGACAAGGCCTGGGCAATGCTGCTGGGATTTCTGAGGCCAGCCTGGTGCTGAGGGAAAGCAGAGCCTGAAGGCAGCACAGCTCAGCATTCCCTGTGCTGTGCTCAAACACACACCACCAGCAGAAATCAGTGAGGAATTAACGTGTCCTCTTCCCTTATTGGGATTTCTCTCCCCTCTGAATCAAGGAAAATAAAAATCCCTGAACAGTCAGAACCACCCACTGCAGAAAAACTAAACAGTGTCATCTGATGCTACACAACAGCCTCAGATAAATCTGTTTGGATGATTTTGAGCAATTGCTTTCAAAACAGAACATGGTGTTGAAAAGGGAGACATAGGAACATATTTTACATTGAAAGGCTTTGTGAAATTATATAATCTGTAGAAACTGAGAGATTTGGCCTCTTGTTTGCTTTCCTTCCGTTCCTCATGGTTATTATTGCCTCATTATACAGTCATTTGTACAATGTTTTGGCAGACATTCACTATTGCATAAATTAAAGTTGCTGAATCTAGTCATGCCTACAGGTCTTTATGAAAATACCAGCAACATTTTTATTTGAATGTCAAAGTTTGTCAACCATTAAACTGATTGATTTTTCATTATGCAATTCAATAGAAGAAGCAATCTCCAGTCTGTATGCAACATTACTCAGAAAAACATGCAGCTTGGAAAAATCCTTCCTGCTTAGTCTCTCCACAAAGGAACTGTGCTTTAAGGCTGGCTTCAGACATTTTATTAATATAGTAGCAACAGATAAGATGCTGTAATTAAATTCTGTGAAAGAGAATGAATTCAACTGTGGTAATCCAAAAATTCCAATAATCCTTTAAAAACCTTTCCAAGTGGCTTTTTAAGTGCTGTGCCTGTTGGTGTCAGGAGGAAGAGGGTGAAGCTGTGCAGGGTGAAGCCAGCAGAGCCCCCAGCAGAGCCCCCAGCACCTCAGGCTCCAGCAGGGAAGGACCTTCCTGTCCAGCAAGGACTCAGAGCAACCTCCTCACCCTTTCTGTGCTGTTCTTCCCTGCAAACTCCCCGAGGAGGAGAGGAGGAGTGCCCAGCAGGAGCTCCAGACTCACCTGTGTTCCTCTGAAGTCAAAGACTGCGAAGCTCCGAGCCAGAGCAGCATTGAGCTGTCCCAGGGAGGGATGAGCTGGGCAGTGCCCACAGCCCCTTCCCCAGCAGTGCCCAGAGAGATCTCCAGAACTGCAGAGCTTCCAGAACTGTTTCAGCTCCTCTCTGGTCTGATTCCCCCCACCAAGCACTCACCGTGTCCACATGAAGGAGGGGGCACCTGTGGCAGGCACATTCTTCTCTCTCTCAGGATTTTTCATGGAGGAGCCCAGGGAGAAGAAAGAGAAAACAATTTCTATTTCTGCTCCTTGATTTCCCATGTAGAATGTGTTTGGAGAATTGTTTACCTAGGGTGTTGCTTGGTTGGATTCTGGAGAGGATTGTTTGAGCTTGATGACAAATCCAATCCAGCTGGGACTGGGCTCTCAGAGAGGGTCATGAGTTGTGAGTTAAGATTTGGTAGTGAGAAAAAGTAGGTTTGTAGTTTTAGTATCTCCTTTAAACAGTATATGAAAGTATAGTTATAATAAAGTAATCATTCAGCCTTCTGAACTGGAGTCAGACATCATAATTTCTTCCCACCAGGTTCACCTGCATTTACAATATGCAACAACAGCATTTACATTTCTCTTTACTTTCTCTTTACTTCCCACTTATCGCTCCAATATTATTCTAGGCCTGGCACCATTAAACCTCCTTAACTCAAAGATTAAAGTATACAAAGCACACAATAAAAGGACCCTTTTAATTAAACTGGGACGTGTTACAAATTTGACAAAATAAGCCCTACAAATACGCAGAATTCAAGCTGTAAAAAAGTGAATTAAAATAAGAATGTGCATGATCTGGTGACTGAATATAAACTGCATTTAGAGGTTAAGGACTTAAGGACAACAGTGAAATACCCAAAACAGGGCCGTGCTTACTGAGTCTTGTGAGAGGTATCCAAATCACTGCTTTTATTTGCACATCTCCCTAAAAAAGATAAGTCATGCAAATAATATTTTACAAATGCTTAAGGAAATGCCATAAAGAAAGAAATCCATAGAATTCATTATCCCTGCTAAATGGATTACATGGAGTACAAAATCCAGCAGTTATTTTGCACGTTATAACCCCAAATAAAGGACACGTCCATATTTGTGGTAAGAAACTGAGGGGTGAAGTGCTGTCAAATTATTTGATTTAGAAGCAGTGAATAAAATTCGAACAAGATTCCAGTTACTTAAATTCAGTGTTCCAAATCCCAATTGTCTTCAAGGACAGTATTTCAAACTTCAGACCAGTTTTCTGAGACTTTTGTTTAGTTTAGTCTATTTTTTTTCCCTCAAAGGAAAGGATGACTTAAGACTCAACCAAAAATAAATATAATAATTAAAAAAACCCATGGCAGCAGCATTTTTCAGACTCACTGGACCATGGACAATGAAACTGAAAGCTAATGTCAGGTTAGAGTAAGTTTATTTTTAATTCAATAGCACAGTCAGAAGCACTTCACTACAAAAAGTTATGACTTTCATGATGTCTATAAATAGGCAACCTACTGAATTATCGAATAGAATGTTGATGACATTAGCATTAAGTCCTAATTAAACAATGAAGCAATATGCATTACAATCTGCCAGCAAAATATGCATAATCAGAAAAAGATTTCATAAAATAAGGATAATTTGGTTATTTTTATTAAGCAGTAAATAAAGAGTTTGTGCTGATTGGTGAAAGCTCACTTGAGAAACATGGGAAATGTCAGGGTTGGAAGGAGGGACTTGAATAACAAAACATCTGCTATCCCAGGCACGTTACAGGAGGTACACTGGATTTTTTCCTCAGATCATCTGCTCCTCTACTCAAATAATCCCGCTATCCATTTTCACAGTTATCATTCCACTGTTCTTTTTCTTTCCCAAATACATTTAGTTTTGTATTTCACTGACCTCCTAAAAGGCTTCAGGAAATACCTGTCACTGTTTTACACCTTTTTACTACAGCATTAGAGGGAAATGACTCAACCACATTCAGTGAGGAAAGCAGTGCCAGAGCCAAAAAAAAAAAATCCATTTTTTTAGAGTCCCAAGTGGATCCAGAACCCACTGGTGGTGTTATTCCTCATGTGAGTCCTGCTCCGTCACCCCTCATGACACTTGTGTGTTTTCAGACCTGTGCATGCCAAGTGCTCCCTCAGCAGACAGGAATATCCTCACAACTGAGAGGGCTGCTGGCTCTTACCATGCTCATATTTTCACTCTGGAATCAGACTGGCAAGGAACCAAATGTTTCTTGGCTTAAAACTTCCATGGAAAGAAAATACATCATGTACAAACATCACCAAAATAAGAGTGGCTTTTTTTTCTTTTTTTTCATTTTACAGTGGCTTCCTTAAAATTAGACTTTTTAAAATTTTTCATAAAGACATTTTTTTCTTTCTTAAAAATGATGTCATTTTTGAAATGGTGTATTAATGATTATGTATTATTTCAGCATCCAAACATTTAGCAAGAAAATACCCCATGATTTAAGCAAATAAATTGCTGTAGGAATCCCATAGTGGATTCTCCCTCGATAATCTGCAATCTAAAAACAATCCACCGAAGGTACTTAGCTGGGGCATACACAGATTTTTGCACAAGGGAAAGGCTGAATTCACTGGGTAATTTATTCACAACAAAGGAATCCACCATGACTTGCAGTGACTTTCACGCTAGGGAAAGTTCCCAGAGCAGGGAGCTGTTTGGTAGCATTGGGCTGACAGCTGGTCTCTCATCATGATTAAATGGCTTTCCCTTGGGTGAGCTCCAGAAATATGCTGGGTTTGAGGCAGAATAGATGCAGAATTCCACATTAGCTGTTACTGAGTTCCTTATGCACACAGTGTCTTAAAACAGCCCAGGAGGGTTTGGATCTGGGATTATAAAAATGTTGGTTTTTCAGAGAAGACTCTTGTATCCTTTCTCAGACTCAAATTTCCAGTGATTAAAAACTTGTTTCTGACTCTAGACAACCAGCTCAGGTACAATTACCCACACTGGTTTGGTGTTTGTGACCTGGTTTTGAGGCAGGGGTGAGCTGCAGTCTGGTGCAGCATTACCCAGATGTTTTATCATTACTGACCTCAGCTCTCCAACAACCTCTCCCCACAGAGCATTTCCAGAGCAGCTTCATGCTCACCCCAAAAGAGTGAGACAGAGCTCATGAGAGAAGCTTCCAGAAGCTGGAGCAGCACAAAAGCTCTCTCAAAGCCAAAGGTGCATTTGTTTGGCACCAGCTGCTGTCACACCAGCAGAGAAGCCTGGGCTGATTCAGGAGCTCCACAGGCATGGCCTGCCTCACTTACAGAATGTAGGAACAGCACTAAGGCCTTCTCCAGAGCCCAAATATACAAAGAATTATGGGCTGGCACTTCAGAAGGAAGTACGAGATCCTGAAAATCTCCACCTAAAAATGTGAGTGTTCTGAACTCCCTGAATTGCTTAGTCAAATCCATCTGGGTCTGATATACACTCAGGTTGATACTTTCCATCTCTTTTGCAAATAGTGTAAAATAAATTGTCTGTTGGAATTGTGACAGCAGGAGTATTTTCTATTAAAGTCCCCTCTGATCAGAACTCCCATGCAGTCAACAACTGCATCTTCCTGATACTTCGCTGTCAACTTTCTAAATCTTGGATGTCAGTGGGATTTACAACATTCCTGCTGGGCTCCCCAGTCAGATTTTGAAGAAACATTCACTCTTACAAACAGGAACTGGCAGCCTGTAAATAAACATAATGGTGGAATTGCTAATAAGTTCTATTTCCACCACGAGTTGTTTTGTTGCTGGAGATGAGGCTGAAAACGTGAATTTCACATGGCAGACCATTTCCTACCATTCACCTCTGCAGCTCAAATAATCCTTCTATGGCAACTTCGGATCCCAATAAAGTTCTTGAAATCATACACTTGAGCTAAGATTTCTATCTGATCATTGCAGCAAGCTTACTATTAAATTGGATTGCAATAAATGAATGTTTTTTATCAGTGTCTGGAACTTCCAGTGTCACTTCTCCATCTTACCACAGGTGCTTGGCATTATTGCTTACCCAAGGAACGCAGCAATTGCCTTGCCACCACAACTCTCCCACATATTTTTGACAATTCTGGCAACACAGGTAATTCAAACTTTTGGATTTTCTGTAGTGGTTGGTTTCTGCAAAGGTTTAAGTGATAAGCTTTCATGAATGAATTATTTTGTCATATAATACTCATATATATATACCCCCATAGGAGAAGAATTGTTAGGAACTGTAGACACACACACAGATCAACTGTTTCATGATGTGATCTCAGCAAATTGCTCCCCTTGCTGGCAAATCAGCAACTGCATTAATGGCAGGCACAAAAGCCTCAGAAAAAATTAAAAAGGAACATGAACAGAAGACAACCCACCAGGATCTGCAGAGCTTATTGCTAATTAATGGCTGAAGAGAGCACTCACTGAGGCAGGAAAGCCAGGAGAGATCTCTGGAGCAGTTTAGGGTAGCTGGAGTTCCACACCAGACTTTTTACATCCAAAGGATGACTTGCTACTGATATAAAATCACCAGATAAGCAAAATCCAAAAATGCACTGCAGAGATTATATAAAATATCTATATAAATAACTGTGTGAATGGCACCATACACAATACAGGATGAATAAACTTATCCACAGATAAAATACATTCTCATTTGTACTGCCAAGGTATTGAAGCACATATATGAGTGTTGAGGAAATTAATTTTATCCTTTCTCTAGAGGAGATTATGGATTGTAAGTGACCAGTCTCTTATTGTGTGAAAACAGTACATTAATACTTCTGACTTGTCATTAATCAATACATCACTAGCAAATTATTCTTGAAATTAAGCTGTTGCAACACACTGCTGAAGCAAAAAGATTTAGAGGGGAGAGAGAGGGGACCAAAATAAAATGAGATCAAATCCAAGGAGCTGTGCAAGCTGTACTGAATGGGAAATTGCATTTCCCAGCTACACAAAGAGAATCACTGGGCTAACTCTGACAAGATTCAGTCTATGGAAAATATAAAATACAATGTAACAGAAAATCCAGAATATTCCCCCAGAGCATTCCCGTGAAACACATCCCAGCACATTTCCACACAGGAGCTGGCAGTGCCTGGATGTTTCTGAATCAGCAAGTCTAACAGGCAGATATTTTGTTTCAGGGGTCAATTTTCCCATTGATGCAAGGAGGATTTACACATGCAAGTCCCATTAACATTAATAGGAGTTGCCCACATAAATCCCCCTGCAATGATGGGAAAAAAGACCCCATAGTCTGCAAGGATCCAAGTTCTAATGATTACCTGTCAAATGGCCCTAAGCATCATCATCACCAGAAAAAGCAGACGAAGCAGCTTCATGGCTGAAAATGCCTCCAAAGGAGCAGTAACCACCTGCAGTCCTACAGCCCAGGCAATGCCACACAAGGGAAAATGGCATCAAATGGACTCTTTGAATATGAAGGGTTAATCCAATTAACCAACTTAAAAAGAAGGTACTCATTAAAAAAGGAATTCAAACATATCAAAGCACTCCTTAGGAAAAAAAAAGGTGTGAATATTGTATGAGCTCCAAGGTGCTTGAAGGATAATACAGCTACTTGTTTAAAAATTCAATTAACCTTATCTTTCTTTAACTTGATTTATTAATAATCCCACAGATAAATTGCCAGTTTTTAAAAAGTCATGTTATCTTTTGAATACATCCTGTATGACAAGCCTTAAAAACTACTTCAAAAAAACCCAACCCTCACTTTGCATGCTTACACCATTTAAAGAAAGAACAAAATGCAGTTCAGAGCATGATTTCTGTAAAATACCAGCATCAACAGTCTGATCTACTGCTCCTGCAAGTGAGCTATTGGGTACTCAAGTACCATAGGAAAAACATTTAATGCTTCCATTCACCCTACGAAAGAGACATGAAAACAGTTTTTAAGCAATCAATGTAGTGTAAAGTCATAGCCTCCAACGTGTACATCATCCCATCAGATCTCAAATCAAATCTGAGCCATTTCCAAACCTGGCTTCACATGGACACAGAGCACTCAGACAGGAATTGATATAAACTTGACAATGCAGGTACCCACGTTGGCAATTACAGGTGTCCTCGTGCTGAAAGCAGCCAAGGGAATTCTCAGGAAATCCCAGCTGAAAGTGAACTGTTTTTCTTTAAAAAAAAGTTGAAAGAAAACACAGGACCATGCACTTGCAAGCAAACCTTTAATTTTCATCAAGAGACTTCCTTGTAAACACAGATGAGAGATTCAACTATGATCCCTATTTCTGAGAGACAGACAGGGATAGGTCCCTCCACTTATCTCTTTTATAGATCTGCAGATGTTAAATAAAAGCACCATACACTCATGCTTCCCAATACACAGAGAAATTACAGCTAAATGAAGAGGCAGCCTGCTTATTAATATATATATATTTATATATAAATAACTGCTCAGTCACAAGCATCCAGAGGTTTCAGCTGTTGAACACTGGGAACATTCCAGCCACGTGTTTTTCTGAGGACTCTGGGATTATGCACACAGACACACACATACCAGTACCTACCCCACAAAGGGTGCAAACACTAACCCTGAAATGCAAACTGGACAGTGGGCACGATGCAGGACAAAGAGAACAGGATCAGTTATGCTGTAAAAAAATAAATAAATTCCCCTTTCTGGCCTGGAGCCAGGTTCAGGGCAGGCACAGGCACCACAGGACTGTACAGAAGCCTGGCTGTGGCATGGCCAGGCAGAGCTCCATGTTCATGACCCAGTGGCATTTTTTATTTACTTACAGTATTTAAGCACTCCTGGAACTGGCTCTACCTTCATGAAGAAGTTTAAACCCCAACTCATCAACTCTAGAGATACTACTGAACTACTGGGTGTGCATTTTAAAGTAAATCTTTAAGTACGTGATAAATACTTTTTATATATGATTTCAAGCATGGTTCAGAAGAAGTGCAAGTTTAACATGGTCATTTACAACAGCTTTCTCATTTTGTAGTTTTTAATACAAACTAGGTTTATAAATAGTTCAATACATTTTATTGTATAAATGCTTCATGGTTTATCATTACAAAATGCATAGTTTATAGTTATCACACTAATTTTAATCCTATTAACTGGGATCAACACAAACCTTTGGAATTATCGGCTGAACCTTCTCTTCACCACAAACTCCCTCAGCTGATGGTCATTTAGACTTCTCAGACCCCAAACTTCCAAAAAGTAACTACTGACTTACTAAAGGCCCAAACAGTGCAACAAATCCAGGGGGCTAATAACAGGAATGCTCCATTTATGACTGAATTTTGGTGGCAAATCTGGCATTAAGTTTAAATTCTGCCATTCTCCTGACTCCAGTAAATGAAGTCACAAGAGAAAATGTGTCATCTGATAGGTCTTACTAAAAAAAAAACTGAATGTAAAATAGTTCCATGAGAGGAACATCTTCTGGATTATATTTCCTACCTGATTATGGCATCAGTTTCAAAACCATACAATAAAGCCACTGCAGAACTGTCAATATTATTGCCTTTGAATTCCATTCATAAGACCACTGTGAAGGACAGATGGTGAACTTCACCTTCAGCTGTTTAATTAGCAGAGATCCAAGGATTTTTAGGAGAAATCATCTAACTGGTAATCAAACTTGCACTTTTTTTCTTTTGCTTAGCTTTGACTTCCTCCTTAAAAGATGGAGGAATATTTCCAAGTTGTAAAACAAAACCAAATCCTCTCAATAAATCATGAATCCTATTTTAGCACTGTCAATTCAGATGCTTCGTTCTGTATTTTTTTTGTTTAGATACAAACCCCACTGGATCTGGTGGGCCTCTGACTGTTTAAAAGTGTCTCAGCTATCAATGAAACGACTTTAAAAAGATGATCCAAGCTAAGGAAAGTAAGGCAATGGCAAATAATACATCTCTGGGGGTTTAAAACCTCTTTTTGTTACCCTTCCTCTCTTATGTCCTAGTTTGGGTCAACCTCCTCTTCTCCTAAGAGAACACTGTTCACTCATTCACTCATTCATTCATTCTTCCCTTGTAACAGCAGCACCACCTTCACTACTGCTCTCCTCAGCTGAGGTTTCAGGCTTTGTCTCTGGTGAATTATTCAATCCAGACTCTTCTGGCTCAATCTCATCTTCATCATAAATAATATCTTCTGGATTCGGTGGTGGGGGGCAAAATTCCTCCGTTGGAAACATTTCTCGGAAAATAGTCTCAGCCTATTCAGGAAAAAGAAGAATAACATAAACTTTACCTTGAAATGTAACACCCTGAGGCAATATTTTACAGATATTTAAGATTAACCTCCGTTCTTTCAAATCAATAGTGATTTAGTACTTTGACAGTATTGTAAACACGTGGGAAATCCATTCCTTCTTGCAGACCTCGAAAGAGAAAAAGCAATTTATCTTTTTACATTGTTCTACTAGGAAGTCACAGCAGGGGGCTTTGTAAAAAATGCTGGTCATTCTGTGTTGCATTGAGAACAAGAAAGAGGATTTTCTGGAAGCAAACTGATCTTTTGCACTATAAAACTATCCCTAGCTGCAGTCCAAGGCAAAGCATGGGGAGGATCTTGGCTCTTTCCAGAGAGAGGGATCATTTCACAAGGAAACCCAGGGAACTGTACACATGTACCATCCATATCATGGCTAGATAGGTTTCCTTCTTAGATTAAAAAACAGCAAAAAAATTCTATTTCTCCTTTTCTGAACACTTAAAACATACAGCACAGCTGAGAATACTCTTATCCAAAGGAATATTACCACTGAAAGTACATCCCAATATATTTGTGGTTTATTTAAAACTCCCATCTATAATCTATAATTCCAAGGTGCACAGACCTGTATGTGTGATAAGAACAGTATTTTAGATAAAAAGGACAGGTCCAGTTCAATGACTTAATTTACAATGGCACTTGCTCTTCATGCCATCAAGGTTTAGAAATCAAATAAGACCAACAAGTTTTTTGGCCACTACAATGGAAAATATTAAAAAGAAACATTCTTGGAACACCAGTGTGATTGTTATTACAACATACACAATACAAGTACAAAATCTGAGAGAAAGAAAGAACCAATGAAATACAAACTTAGGATTCCAGAGAAGCAGACATTTTGTACAAACAAAGAATGCCAAAAATCCTTTAAAACCCCACAAGAATGCAAGAAGCTCTATTAACGAGTGTTAAAAGACTTATACATGTACTTGTACAAATAATCCATCTATAAGGTTATCTTATAAATAAATTTAAAAAGTAATTTAAAGTAATAAATTAATTAAAAATTCAAAAAAGTTATTAAAAGTAATAAAGTAATTCAAAAATAAAAAAAGCCTGAGATGTTTGGAATTTATTTACTGAACCCACATGCTCTCCATCATTGGAAATCACATTTCCATCAAGGCTTCCTCTTCCAAGCCCTGAAGCTGATCAGCACCTCATGGGTGCAGGACTCCAATTTTAACTGCTTAAACGACCCTGTTTACTCTCAGTTCAATTTCATTTTTCATTCTACTTCCTAAATTTTACTCCTCCATACTCATGCAAAACTGTTTCAAACTTTCTGTATTAATATAGGAAAAACTGGACAATTTTGTTCTCTACTTCAAAACCATAGTTTTGTCATTTGAAAGCCTTGCCTAGTAAGTCTGGGGAGCAAGGGGGTACAACATCCTGAAAAGCTGGGGTTTAACCTTTTGAAAGCAAGAGGAAAACTTTTAATTTCAAGTTTGCACTTGTCCTTGCTACTCCAAAAATACATTTCAACTATTATTGTATTTAACAGAATACTGAGGGAAGATGTATTTTGAACTAAATATATGACAAATGAGAGCAAACATTTCCTATGCAGTTCTCAACAATTATTCAGTCCAATCAGTCAGCAAATATCCACTCCAAAAACAGCCTAACAGTTATGAGGTTGAACTTGGGAAGAAATTCTCATGGGAACAACATGGGAAGAATGTTATGTAGGACATCATGACACTGATTACAACTAAACAATTTAATGGTATAGAGCACTTTCAGGTCTCCCAAGTTTTTAAATTAACTATATCCAGCTGAAGCAATACAGAATAAACAATAATAATTTAACAACTCTTTCACTGTAACACTTTGATATTTAATGTGAGTAATTAAGGTAGACAATAAGTCCTTCAATATTTCATAGTATCAGCTGAGAAATGTGTGTCCAGTTGAATCCAGCATTAAGACACAGGCATGTAAAGCCCTTACATAGCAACTCCAGTGAATTGGAGTTGAATAAAACTAAATTCTGTTCCTGTTTTATTGCATTCCAACTTGTGGATAAACTCTGGGGACTTTCACAGCAACTTTTATAGGGACCACAAGCAAAGTACCAACACTTGATTAACTCTGAAATCCTTCCAGATATAGAAAATAAAGAGGTTAAAGGACAAATATTGGCCTGACAGTTTTAGTATATCCTCTCATGACCATGAAGATGCCTCAGAAGTCTGAAATATGGCAGGGAATATATTACTTTAGCTCATAATAATTCATGTCAGGTTGCAGCAGTGAAAACAGAAAACTGGAAGCCAGATGCTTTACTAGCTCCACACACAGGGAGTTTGAAAAGATCATAAATGGCATCTCCATTTCATTTAGCCTGTCCTCGGGGCAAGTAAATGTAACCATCAGCGTTAATTCCATACAACAGGAGGAACTGAACACAGAATTACAATAAAACAAGAGGGCAGTAATTTGTATATAAGGCGTAGATGGAGAGTTGCCTGTAAGAGCTGTGGTCCTGCCTTGCCAATAATGTATCAGCAGTGCAATCACACAGCATGACAAACAGAATGATGGGAATGAAGAAAATAAATCACAGCAAGTATCACTAAAACACTAATCCCAAAATGATTAGAGGAATCAGATATAACTTTCAAAGCTATCTTTAAGACAAATTCACACACTGGGTTTTTTTTAAGCTGTTCTGATCCATGAGTTTGCAAATATCTCCTGCTTGGAGATTCCATCCCATTCCTAGGAGGGTCAGAGTGATTTGGGAGTGGAAGACACACCAACTTACAGCTATTTCCCTCCTCTTTTCTACAAGGTCTCTGCATGGTGGGACTCCTGCTTCATCTTCAGCCTAGTCTTCATTTTGCTCTCACACCCGACTTCCAATTACAAACATGTTTACACTAAAATATTTTCCTCTTTTCACTTCTTGTGACCATTTGTTTCAAAATTTAAATCAGGTTCAAAAAACGCAGCCGCCTCTCTCTGTTTTTGTTTAAAAGGCAGTGATTTAGGCTCTTGATGGATCCTCCTCAGAGATCTGCCTAGCATCTCTCACTGATGGCCAACCGTTTAAACATAAAAGCTGAACTACAGCACCAAGAGTACTTAAACAGGGCCTGATCTATTCCATCATTGTTCACTGATAAGAAGAAAACCTCTTAACGGAAGACAAACCTGAATGTTAGAAATATTAAAATTAGAAATAAGTTTTAAGTGTATTTAATCAGTTTTAAACAACAGTTTGGAAAAAAATCAAATTTAGAAAGGAACTCATTTACAATTTAAAACTGCTACCATAATAATTGTCTTGCATTATTTTTTGTCTTTACAGGTCTTTATCTCTCTGAGAGGCAAATTATTGCCTTGTAAAGCAAAATGAAGGATACTATTAGCCCTTAATGACACTGTTCTGACCCTGCAGTTCAGGCTATGTCAGCCTTTCCACTTCAAAACCTTATTTTTAAGAGGTTTATGACTTAGTCATAAAAAATCCTGCAACTGGCTAGAAGATGGCATGCACATTGTCTGAACATGGCTATTAAAAACACAGCTTTAAAAATGCCTAGTGCCACTTCATCCTCCAAAGCTGTGAAGTGTTCTCCTGTCTCTGACAGTGCCCTGACACCACAGGGGCTGCTGGAGCAGATCTGCCCAGGAATTTGTACCTTCCTTATCCAGGGGATCGCTGAAAGAAAATTTTTTAATACAGTGATACCAAGGCAAAGAGAAGGGAAACAGAGAGGAGGCTTAATCTACCACATTAGAATTGTGCTGGGTTTTTCTCCCAGTGAGTTTCTGGTTTGGGACTGTCCTGCAAGTATTAAACTTCTTTAGTGATCCTTCCAACTTGAACTGTAGACAAGATTTTCTGGCTTTGATTTGTACTGTACCTCCTCCTTTACCTTCCAGGTGAAAGCCTGTGACTATTTCCTGATCTCTCCATCTACTTAATTTTCTAATTTTGCAGAGTTATCATGTATATTATCATATATATTATATTAGAATTATAATTCTGCAACCAAAACCTGCTCTGCCCAACCTGTTTGACAGCACAGTCATTTCCTAAAGCAGAGTCTGGCCCAGAGCAGACATAGACATTGGAGGGTAAGCCAGCATAGGAACTCTTCTCAACTCCTGAGGAATCTCTCATGTTGAAGTAAACTGCCCAGAGGACTCTGGGTTTCTCCAGTTCTTCATTTTCAGTCTCTGAAAAGGAAAAGGAGTGTTTTCAGTAATCAATGTTGTTGTGTGATAAGGTAACTATAGAATGTAGGACACTGGAAATCAAATTTTTACCATGGAATTACTGTAATAAAATATTTTTGTTCTTCAAAAAGTCAACTATTTAATTTTCTGAGATTCTCCTTCATCATTGTTTCTCTTTCCTTTTAAAGCACAGCTATGCAAACTCTACTCTCTGCACACCCTCCACCACTCCAGCAGCAGTTATCACTACCAGCACCCTACCAAGAAGCCTGGTTTAAATTTAACACCTCTCACATTATCTCCTGCACTGGGGATAAACTTTCAGAGCACATGACAGACAGCAAGTCCTCCCTGGGCTCTGCCAGCTCACAGCCACTGCATTCCCTGTGCATAGATATTTCTCACGTGTCATTTCTTCCCTCCTTTCACACTTTTTACATAGAATCTCTAATTGCAGCAGTGCTGCTAAATGAAAATAAATGACTAATTTGTATTTATCTACGCTCATTGTGCTGCAATTTTCATCAAGAATACAGAATTATCACAAACTCAACTTCCTTGCTTGTACTCTGTCCCTCCCTGCTGTACTTTGCACATTCCTATGATCCCTCTGCACACAGGCAGAAAAACCTCTGGAAAGATGAAGGTCACTTCTGAACAGTGCACAATGCAATGGAGGAACACAGACCACAGAATCTCAGCTTGATAGATGCTACTTGTTTGGAATATTTGCTGTCCCCTTTCATGTATTTTCCTCCTCTAAAGTAAATGAAGCTTGTAAAAGACCTTAAGAGATTTACTTCTTTCCAAAGCAGAAACTTTTTGACAACTATAGCATTCAAAACAGTATTTTAAAGCAGCTGAATTACAAAAAATAAAAAAGAGATAAATCTATGCTATTCCTTCAGTATCTTTTTATAACTGTCAAATAGTTAAAAAAAAATAGGTGCTACTCATATTGAACAGTTTGAAATATAAATTAAATTCATCAGCCTGTGAAAGTCTGAGCCTTAATACAGGGCAAGATGCTCTTTAATATATTTAAAAGTTCACATTGCTCATAAAAGTTACTTCTTCCTCATTTAGGCAGGAAAATGAATGGAGTCCTCTTCTCCAGGTGACTTTGCCTCTTTGACCTGCCATGGCCCAGTGCTCACTTTATCTGGTGATTCATTTTCAATAACTCCAACAGTATTTGTTCTGACATTTTAATTAAAATACGACCACTACCTCATCCTGATGATAAAAAGGCCTATGTGTCAGGGAAAACTGGCTTTTCAGTGCCTCAGTGCACCTGAGGACCCCTATGATCACAGAGTTCCTACAGAAGAATTTCAGTCAGCTTCTAAACAATCTATCATTTCGAAACTGGATCACTTTAAACATGAAGATTAATGCCACCCCTCCCCAAATGATTAGAAGACACTAAGCTGATCTTCTCTTCACCAGGTCTTTGAAACACATGGCACTATCTTGAAAATTGAAGACAGAAGTTAAATATTAAAAGGTGAATATTAGCAGGCTTTAAGTTAACACATATACAAACGAGAAATGTTTGCAATTCTCCAGTCTAAAAAAGTTTTCTATTTACAAATCCAAGTTGTTTTCTAAATATTACAAGCAACCAATTATGAGTATTATATCTTAGTAACTTGCATTTATACCAGCAAAACCCCAGTCCCTAGGAGCTGAGCATTGTTTTCTCTCAGAGGAAGAGTGATTTATTGCCTTGCAGCATGGGCACAACTGTATTTAAACTGCTTTGGCCAGGGTTAGAACACAGCTGCATCTCCCACATGCACATCACCTACTCTGTGAGCATTTAACACGAATACGGTTCAAGATCTTAGGATTAAATTTCAAAAACGTATGTGGAATTAACTCAGGTATTTAAGGAACAATTTCCTTCTGCTCCATCAGCAGCTACTTTCCTCTGGGGTGTGAAATTGTCCATCTCAAGGCCAAAGTTCAACAAAGTAGCCAACGTTTCCTTGAATTTAGAGCCAAGTAGTTCATTATTGGAAATCTATCTTTGTTATTACAATACAGAACAACTTTATTCTTCCACTGCTTACAGCAGAATCCAGAAAATTTCAATTCAAACAGCAAACAAGGAAACACTTGAAGACAAGAGGCTGAGCAACAGCCTGAGAACAAGAGGCAAGAACAACCCAAGAAGCCTCCACAATTGCACAAATATTTCATTTCACTACTGCACCTTTCAAGGATGTGCTGAACAGCACATATGTTCCATGGAAAAAAGAAATTGTGAAAAAATAAACAGGTCCCAGACACTTATGGTTGTGTCCTTGGATACTGAAGTTAAACCACAGCTGAAGAAGTAACAGCTACTTTAGTAAATTATATTTATGCAAGATAGTATCATACCTCATTTATTTATTTTTACCTTTTTCTGTATTTAGATTGAATAACTTCTGTACAACAGGCTCTAAATCTTCTCTTGCAGTTTTAGTTGAGGGACAGGTTAGATGGACTAAATCTAGGGAAAGAGAACACAAATTAATTCCAAGCACCAATACACAAACAACATTTACAATTTTTATCATGCACAGCAGGCTTTTAAAAATCCCAATTCTTCACAAAATCCCTTCCTTTAAACCAGGGAAGTGCTGTGCCATGGACACACAGTGTATGTATAGCACACACAGAAATTCTCTGCACATACCTCAGAATTCTCTGAGTTACTCCCATGATGTACAAATGATTGTGCAATCCTTTGTACAACATTTTATTCATCCACTTCTTAGATGGGAGAACTATTGCTGAACAATCCTTTATTTGTTCTGTTTTGCAGACTCTGCAGTTGCTGTCTCCTTACACAACCACTTGATGCAGCTCCTGACCCTTTTCTGTGCCACTGGCACCTGCTCAGATACAGAACCAGCTGCTTCACCCGCTCTGATTTCCCAGCCATTCATTCATTTAAAAGCATCACCTTGAAGCTTTTCATGGGTCCACCTTACTGGACTCATTTGCTCCTGGAAGCTTCTCACCAGAGAAGTGTTCATCAGAGAATCCTGAAGGAATTTAACACTGTACAAAATTTAAGCTGATCAGTGTTTTCTTCATTTCTGTAAATTTCTGATTCATTTAAAAGCAGAGCCCAGCTCTGGTATTATTTTAAATCTAGATGACATTTTTGTCTTTTCTCTCTGATGCCTGGCTGTTGTCATTATTTTCCAGAACATCACAGATCCTGAGCCTGGTTCCATCAGGAACAGAAATTTAACCCTTCATGCTCCTCTGCTTTCAGGTCGCACACATACAGTTTCTATTCAAACATTAATTTTTTTTTATTAAATCCAAACTAAACCTTCTGTCTGAAGGAATATGTACTAAACTAAGGAAAAGGGTGGTGATAATCAAAGTTTCCCCCTAACCTTAACTAGATGCTTCCAATCCCTGTAATAAAATCTATTCTTTCCTCAAAAAACCCAGCTATAAATTACTAAAGTTCACATCATTTACTTTCTATAAAATCTTTTTTATTATCTTTAAGGTTATGGTTATGAGTCACAGTCATCAGTATATATTTTGATTATATTTGATTTACTCAGGTATAACTGCATTAGTTACAGTGGTTGCCAACATTTGTCTTCAAGTAATTCTCCCAGCAAGAAGAACGATGAGTTCAGTTCCTGATTTCATCATTACAGTCTCCATTTTTAGGGCAAGTGAAGGAGTTTGGTTCCACTCAAGTGGCAATACAGATGATGTGCCTGTCATTTGTGCACTGTGATCAAAGAGTAGATGTATTTGTATACTTATCTTAAATAATTGTTCCAAGGAGAAATCAGTCAGGTTAAAATCCATTTACAGATAATGATGTAAAAGTTTTTTTAAAAATTATGCATTATGTCCCATAACTGGACCTCAGCTATGCCTAATATAGAACCTTATTATTTCAATATATGAAGACAAATTTCATTAAGGAAGGCAGTACCTTCTCTTCTGAAATGAAAGGAATTTATGGAGAAAAGTAAATAACAGAAACCTTAATATTTCAGCACCATAAAAATCTTCCTGAAACTAATACTTTAGATCTATGGAACATCAATCCTTCATTAGTTTCACTTTCTGCTGTATGTATTTTCTGAACCCTGAATAAAAAGAAATCAGCTATTTAAATGATAAATATTAACAACATGCTTTATAGCACAAAGTTATTAATTAATTACAAGCTTATATTTTTTTACTATTATTTAGTAGGAAATATAACTTTGAATGACTTAATCATTTACTTTACTCTTCTTTTATATGCAAAGAACTTATTTCAAGCCTATTTAACAGCAAAATAAATTGGCTACTATTACAGTTACTTCTTTCTTGTGAAAAAGAATTAGGTAAGAATTAGGTAATTCTATTCTAATAAATACCCAAAATGAACATTCTATTGCTCAATTATTTCAAGTTCATATAAAATACCAACAGAATCCTTTCAGAAGATAAAAAGCTCCCAAATACAGTGGATTTCAGGTATTTCCATTTAATAGTTCAGCTAAGGGAGCCCATTTAAAAAAAAAAACAAATGACAGATTACCAGGAAGATTCAAGATTTGTATCTTTCATTAACATTTCATTGGTTTATTATTTTTATCTCCCGAAGGAGGATTTATTCCTGTGGAAGTGAAAATGAGTCCATGAAGCTCCACAATGGTAGGAAGCCACGGCTCCCTGTGTTCTGTGCAGCAGAGGAACAACACCCAGAGATTTCAGCTGTGCTCCAGAGCTGCCAGAGCCCAAGGGGAAAAGCTCCTTTACTTACAGGTGTCCTTCATGCACGTCATGGTGGAGGAGCAGAGCTCGATGGCACAAACTGCTGCCCTGCCCGGCTCCAGGGGAGGCACCGTCAGAACAGAAACCTGGCAGCAGAAAGCAGAGCTTGAGGGAAAGCACAGTGCCCTGCAGGATGGGGCAGCACCACCATCCTCACCACAGCTGAAAAGGAACTGCAGTCACACTGCTTGGTTTTCTACTGTGCTACGACAGAGCAAACACAACTCTGATTAATAGCCTCTAAAATTAAGGACTGCAAGACTGACAAAGCAGATCCAAAGAAGCATCTTAAAGTGTACAAGGAGAACTTCAAACAGCAAAAAGGAATGTTTAAAACAACCAAAGGAACTTTGAACAAAGTTTAGACAAGATGAATAATTAACAGAATAGTCAGGGTAACAGTTTATTAAAAAGCAAGCAAAATTAAAATTACAGACAGAAGCTTAGAAACTCTATTAATTATAGTGTAAGCCGAACAGGAAAATCCCAGTCATTGAACTAAACAAAACTAAAAACTAAATAGCTTTATAGACAATAAAACAAATTAAACAATTACCAGTACAGAGAGCTGACTAAAGATCTCGATTCAAGCACAAACAAAATGAATTAATGACTTAATTCCTCCCAACAACAAAATATTAACACATGAGATGTGATACAGAATTGGTGTGTACCTGCTGCTCTGAGTCTGTGTTCAATACAGACTGATCTGTAATGAGCACTGCCCTGGAGATCTGCCTACAATTAAATAAAAGAATGATGTAAAAAAAAATTTATATAATAAATTTAATTATGCAAAATGAAAACAAAGATGTAAAAAATAGCAATTTAGAGTCATAGTTTTGGTACTACCAGGACCATTTCACTACATAACCTTTATTACTATGATTTTAGTGGGATATTTTGCCTGTTGCTGAAGCAGAAACACACCTGGAATACCAATGTAGTATTTTCAACCACCAAAACAGGTGATGAATAAATGAGTCAGTGCAATTGTATCAAACAGCCTCCCTTCTGTTTTTTAGGAAGTTCTTTTGCCTATTTGATCAAGACTAGCAGCAGCACATGAAGGCCTTGTGCTGTTCCAGAGAGCACAGGAGCCTTGGGATGATGGGGAAATGCAGCAGGGCAGAGGTCACTCATCACCTGCAGTTTGTGCTCCTGGGTTATCCTGCTCTGCCCTCACCAGCACAGCTCTGCTGATCCCTCCCCTGCCCTCTTCTGACACACAGGCCATGCCCAGGGCTTCTGGCAGCAACAAGCAAATCACAGAAAACAAGGAAGTTTAGTACTTGTCTAAGGATGAACAAATTTAAAGCAAGGACAGCAACTGGCACCTTCACCTTCCAAACACATTTTAGCAAATATGAAATTCCTAACACATTCAGAGCTCTTGGATTTTTATATGGAAAGAGGGAATCTGATTTCAGTGACAACTGAAGAAAACCTGACTATAGAAAGTACACAATACATCCTCCAGTTAATAGAGAAATACTTTGCACAGAATTGAACTGTACTGCAAAAATAAAGGAGTGGACAAGAGGTTCCTCAGTTTAACTTGCAGGGTACTTTACACACCGTGATTTAAAGAAATTGTGGTTTTTGTTTAACCACATACCTGTAACACACATTTGTGCATGTGCTCTCTGAGAGGTAACTGTCTTCCACAATAAAATAGTTGGCACTTATTCTTTGTCCAAAGTGATCCACAATAGCTTTGCACCTGTTTAAAAAGAACCAAACCACAGTAAAAACTTTAACAAACTGATCACTTTTTACAGAAAATATAAGCTTACAGCACTCACATTTAGCTCCACATTTCTTACCTCATGATACATAAAAAAATGAAACTGTAAATTATTTTGGTGGTACTACCCTATTGCAGTGGGGTTTCTTTCTTAGGAAGACACCTTTACTAAAACCAAGTTTATTTTGACAATAACATTTGACAAATTAAATAGAAAATTAAGTTAGGAGATTTGGGAAAGCTCCTTGACAAATGAGTGCATCAGACTGTTCCAAGAGTGAGTTACTCTGTTTATCACTAAATATACCCTTTATCTCTAAGTGCCACACAAATGGATTAACTGAGTCCTGGTGTTTTAAGAACAACACAAAATGTTCTCCATAGAACAAGGACAGAAATAGAAGTGGGACAGAAATGCAAACCACAGAAATTAACCCATTCAGTGAGCTTAAATGAGAATACAAATCTCAGATTTTAAGGGGGAAAATTTGCTGTAAAAGAACAAACTTCACTCATGTATGACATATGAAGCTACATCATATATATGAGACAAAGTAAAAGGAGGCTGCACACAGATACTCAGTAAAGCAACCTCTGCTGCTGATTCTATTGAGTCCTCTATCAGAACATTTACTGCATAAATAAATAAAGCAAATTAGCTTAACTGAACTTTTCCTTGGGGCATGAAAATTACCTTTTTTAAAATTAAACTTTTCTGAATAACTTTACCAGTGTTTCAACAATTTAACACACAGGACTTAAAGCAGTGAATTTTCTCACACACACACACACGTGTGCATGCACAGGCAAACATCCAAAGGAACACAATGTCTGAGCCAGAGATCATGTACAGATTTACCTTTTTATCATACCTTTTTCTGTAGAGTATCTGACAAGCAAGTTATGCTTTAAGAATGAACAACATTTCTGTAACTTAAAAGCTATTTGTCAGCTTCTGTGATCATAATGATCTACAAACCCAAATCTATATAAGTAATAGCAATCAGCTCCACCATCTCTGGTAAACCAGTTGTCCCTATAACCTGAGATAAGAATTGAAAAAAGGTGACACATAGTCCTCATCTGTAAATGTAAGAGGTTTATGACTACTCAATATGTTTTTTTAACACTGACTCCTAATGCTGACCTCCCAGGCATCTGGTCCCTACATATATTCCTATTTTCAAATTCAACAGGTACCTGACAACAGTCCAAGCACTATTTAACATCTAACATTCTCCAGTTTTAAATCCTATCCAATGTGTGTTTCACTTAAAACTTTAACAAGTTTTTCCTAACTGTTAATCTCAGTGATTTCATCCTTGAGCTCTCATTTGAATGCTGCAAATAAACAAGGAAGTTGAGCTGCTGCAGCTCATTTCTAATTATAACCTTTCTTATTGTTTATGAAACAATTTCCCCACCACCCCCCAAACATTATGGAGGGGAAAGGTTGATTAAATGTCATGTTGCATCACTCAAAGCCAGCGAAAGCAACAACACATTTTATTTTCCTGCTAAGTGTTCTTTCCTCTCCTTTGTTCAGGAATAGCAGCAGGTTGTATGTGTGATAAGATTTTAAACTGAGAGAGAGAGAGAGCTTTTAATTTCAGTCCCACTTTACTTCAAAGGGTGATGCTGAGAAAATTTCTTTCAAGTAGTGCTTCCACATGCAGCAAACACTCCTGCACTGACATTATCAGGTCTCTGTCATCTGATCTGTGTTGCGACAATGAATCACAGCCAACCCTCCATTGACCTTCTTTCAATGTGTCTGGATAAAAGGATGAAAATTAGAATCCATCTCCTTGCAGTGCCACGAGTTATAAATGTACTTTATAGGGCTCATTATCCAAACTAATGGACTAAGGGCGACATCCTTGAAATGGACTCAGCAGCACTGACAAAGCCAGTCTGCAGTATTTCAGCAGATATGTAAATTACTGGCTGTTTGCTCTACCTTTTTATCACAGATGTATAAATGGCCATTTATCACATCCCTTCCATTTTGAGACAGAATTATGCAATTGGAAACATATGTGAAGTGTGATCAATATAAAATGCTCACCATTATGATGAAATTTTACATGTACCCAAAAAAGTGATATACAGTAAACACAGAGAATAACAACATTAGCATACATTAAATGTGGCTTTTTTCCTAGGCCTCAGAAATATGACGTGGTTTTTATTTTCTAACAGCACCAAAGTTCTACCAAGAACTCAGGATGCTCTACAAACTTATTAAAACAGCAGATCTGGTACCATACACAAAAACCAGATATTTTCAAGTGCATTACTAAAACCTTAAAACAGGAATGTCTAAAATTTCTGTTCTTTCACCCTGTCTTGCCTGAATCTTATTTTCAAATATTATAAAAAGAACTACAGAAAAAAGATAAAAATAATTGTAGAGCTGAGTATAAAATCTACTGTTCCTTGTATATACAGGCATGGGTGAATTGTGAAATGTGAAAAAGCAATGTTAACCACATCTAGAAAAATGCTGGAATAAACTTTGGTGATATTCTGAGACTTTTAATTAAACTAACTTAAAAGTTTTAGAAGAAAATCAAGGCTGGAGCTGGAAGTATATATTTTCCTTATGTGTACTAGACCAAGAATATTAAATATATAAAAAAAATCCCTGCCTAAAGGCATGGATGAAGCTTGGAAGGCTGTGGAAGGAGCTATAAACTGGTAATGACCACTGCACAATGCATTTCTGCAGTGCTGAGTGAGCCATCTGTAACCTGGGGAAGATGCCTCTGCAAGCACACAGCCAGCTGCACTGACAACCAGATATGAATTTGCCTCTTACCAATTACTATTAATGGTCTGTTGACTCAAAAGCTCAGTAACTCATAAATAGCCTCATTAACAACTTGATAGCTGATTTTTATTAGGCAAAACACTGAAGCCCAAAGTCAAGAGGAAATACAAGCTGGTGCAGGGAGGGAATACACAGTGAGGAAGGAGATAACAGCAAGAATGAAACAGAAGATAAAGGAAATGGATGTCTTGGATGTGTTGTGCTTCTTCATATTCACTATCAGATAATGGCATTATTAAAAGCTCAGTGTTTTTGGAATAATGAAAGTCTGGTAAAATCTTTAGAAGTATTCTAATAATTTTGCTCCTCAAAAATCTATCATTCTAAAATGACACAAGTGAACCCCAAAAGCAGCCTAAAAAAAGACACTTGTGCTGTTTTTTTTAAACTATATTCAAAACATAAAGGCAGGTTAATGGAAAAGCAGCACTCCAGCTCTTCTGGAACCCACATAACCTTATGAAGAAAACATGGATTTCACAGGTCTTCAGGATGTGCAGAAGAAGCTCGAAACTGGGGCAAGCAGTACCACTGACCAGTTAAGACCTGCACAGAGTTTGGAAGTTGCTACCAACTAAAAGCTTTGTCCCCCTGCAAGAGCAATTTAAAGATTTAAACATTATGAAAGCAGCACAGATTAATTTGCACATGCATTGTGCATTTGGAACAACACACCTGATAAAACACATTTACATGTCAAAGTCTACAACTGTGCAGTGAACTCCAGAACCTTCGGGAACTGGCAGAAAGGTAAAATCTGGAGTATATTCAATTTCAGGGAAAACAGCTACTACTTGACCATGTTGTAGCAAATGCAGCTACAAGGACTGTGCCCAAGGAATTGCAGAGCAGCTGGGAATTAAACTCACACACTCTCATTTAACTACTCATTCTCCTAATACATTGGTACTACTTCATTTCTAAATTAATTCTCTAAATTTTCTACAAAACACCTTGAACTTTTCAATTATAGAAGCTAAGCTGCAAACAGTCTTTAAGACAGCCAAAGTCTGCAGTTAAGACTAATATCTGATAAAATGTGTATAACAGAAATATGACAATTTACAGAGATGTGAAAAATGCCACTATGGAAAAAACTCAGCGCTGGTTTTTCTTAGCTCAACTTTAAACCTGCCTACAGGCCTGATATTGTTGTAAAAGAATTTATTCTGGAATAAGAGGGCAGCATAGTTTATGACAACAATCTACCTAAAAACTCATTAAAGTCTTTTCTCTTGGAGTGACATGCATTATCAGCAAAGATTAATCTGATGAGTCTTTAGGTGAGCTCCATTTTTAAAAATGCAATAACAGAGGGCTTTGTTGTCATCTGATGAAAATCAATTAGAGTAGGTAAGGCCACAAGGAAAACTAACATCACTCATCACCAGCCCCCCGGCAGCTGAAATGATTTGTCTTCCAAGCTTGGGTGATCAGGAGCTGTAGTAATATCACAGGGAAATTAATTTAGTTTCTATATTCTAGACCCACTTTCCTTGTTCTGGAGGACCTATACACAAATTACTTTTAATCAAGGTTGATGTGTTATTAATACCAAGGAGGATCTGGGAAGAATAATTTTTTTTTTAATTGACTCGAGACATTTTTCACCTGTGTTTTGTGTACAAACAGAAGGTTCCTGATGGCGCCTTACCGTCCCGAGGCTCTGTCCAGCACCAGGCAGCGCACGGCGTGACGGAGGCAGTAGATCCCCCCAAACACAGCACACAGCCTGCAACAGGGAAACAAAGGTATTACTGCACCTCTGCTAATTGCAATCGGGTGAGTGGTCAGCAAGGCAGAGCTCTGAGGTGTTGGTAACACTGGTTTACTGACAGAAGCATGATGTGGAGCTGCTGGAGTTCAGAGGAGGTCACTGAGTTGTCACAGGGTTGGAGCCACCCTGGCAGAGCTGGGAGAGGAGAAGGCTCCAGGCAGAGCTCAGAGCCCCTTGCAGGACCCTAAAGGGGCTCCAGGAGAGCTGGAGAGGGACTGGGGACAAGGGATGGAGGGACAGGACAAGGGAACAGCCTTAAACTGAAGGAGGGTAGATTTAGATTGGGTATATGGAAGATATCCCTCCCTGTGAGGGAGGGGAGGCCCTGGCACAGGTGCCCAGAGAAGCTGTGGCTGCCCCTGGATCCTTGGATGTGTCCCAGGCCAGGCTGGACAAGGCTTGGAGCAGCCTAGGACAGTGGAAGGTGTCCGGTGGCATTTGTTGAGCTTTAAGGTCTCTTCAAACCCAAACAAGTCTCTGATTCTGTGATTTTGAAGTGAAAGCATTTTGATATCGCTTCACAGACGACAAACTTGAAAACTTTCACTTTGCAAACCTGCCTTCCAAAAATGGCATTATTTTGACATTCTAACATCAGATGAGGCAGTTCAAAGGCAGTCAGTCCCACAACCCCTTCTGACCTGCAGGACTGGGGCAGCCCAAGGAGCTGTCAGCACCACCAGGTACCATGGGACACCTGGAATACTCAGTTCCCTAAAAACACTCCTGCTCCTCATGGAAAATCAGAGATGCATCCCAAAAATCCCAACCCTGGCTGTTTGGAGATTGTTGAAGATGACACAAAGGTTAAACATCCACTGAAGAACTCTTAGAACCAAGAGCTCTGGATTTATTATCTCTTATGCTGCAATCCACAGCTTCCTGCCTGACACAGCAGCTATCAGAATCTTTCAAACCAACTCAGAGGAGTTGATTTCATATCTTGCATGTAAGAATAAAACTATTAACTTAAGTACTAATGGATTCCTTTGTTAAAAACATCAAGTACAGTTTTCCTTCAACCACAGCCAGGGGATTTTGATATATGCATTTTATTTTTCCAGCATGCTTTGAAAGAACTTTGCTACTTGGCTGCACAGAAATGTGAATTACTTCTTTCCAAGAGTAACCTGGTATCCAGGGGATGAGGGCATGACCAGTTTTCATAGGCCAGCAGAAAACTTCTCTTTTAAAATGAAAATGGAAAGGAATTTTGATTGTGTTGCTAAACAATCATAAACAGCCAAAACACCTATTAGAACAGCCTAGCATGAAAAATGACACAGTTAGGATGGACTTGCCAAAAATATTTAAATACAGAAACTGAAATATTAAACTAAATGGCACCCCAATAATTTATGACAAAGTAAAATCATTGTGCTGGCATTACTTTCATACAATGGGCTATTCAAGATTATTTGACTGCACTTGAAGTACAAGGCAACTCTTTGATACCATTAACCCTAAATGACAGACATTTAAACTGATATTACTCTAATTAACTGGCGACTGCCTCCACCAATAATTCAAGTTTTGCTGAAAGATAGCAACAACACTGTACTCGGCTTCAACTTTGCCCTGGTGACATCAAATCATATTACAGCTAAATTAACAGTTGTGAAAATTTTTGGCCTGGTAGCCCTCCATCATACACAGCCTTTAAATGCCATTTCAGTCCCCATCAAGGCAGAAATCAGGAGTAGCAATTTTTAATACAGCTATGAAACAATGGGACATATTAAAAGCTGCATTTTTGACAGCATATTCGCAGTGATTTATGAGTTTGTATATAATTTGATTATTCTATTAATTTTACTGATTACTGATTCAGCTAATACAGTGAAGGTCACTTACAAAATAAATCTTCATTACATTTCACAGAAAGTAACTGCCTCCAACTAGTTGTTTTCTTTAATTAAACACTAATGTAACAAGAGAGAAAATAGGCTTCAGGGTTGCTGCATCTGTTGATACAAGAGGAGTTTACTGCTTTGATGTAATGCTCTGTGATATTAATTGAACAAAAATAGAATGTCTCTCCATTTGACATCTCGATTTCCAACACTGAGATACCACAAAAACACTCACATTACAGACTAAGCCTTAGTTCACTCTGAAAGAGTTTTAAAACTGTATCAAATAATTTTACGCCAAAATCTAGTTTTTATTTCTAGCATGTAATTAGTCTTCTGCTTTCTAAAATGCACATTGTGATTAATTTAAAAATTGACTATTTTTTAATAGTGCATTTTTTCTGTAGTAAAAACTACTTGCTTCTCTCCTTAAAGCTGAATACTCCATGTACAGCACTGCAAGCTTTGGAGAAAGATCAAAGAAAAACATGGCAAGTGCTGAGATAATGAATTGTCCTTTTCAGTTTATTTTTACACACAGAGCAAGCTGTGACCTTGTTCTTACATTAAATTCTGTTTCCTGAAAGGCTCCTAGAACATCAGCCTTTCCTCCAATGTTGTTGTGTTCTAAAAGCATTAACAACTAGAGTCCAGACAAATCAAATAAATAAAACAGCTACAGCTACAAAAAATGATGGTTAATCTTTCCCAATAAAGGGTTTTCATACCAAAGTCAAAACTTGGTGTGTTCATCCACCTGGGTAGCACCAAAAATCGCCCACAAAAAACAGCACCCAAAAACTAATGAAGAAAATAATCAATGTCATCCTGAACTGTCCTGGCATTTGGAGAGCTGTGGAAAGGAAAATATACGACAGAAATGCTTAAGGAAGCAGATGAAGAGGCAAATATTTTGACTTTTTCCTGCAGGCTGTGTTCATTATTCCTGTGAAATTTAAAAAGGTGCTGTAAGATTAGAGAAGCTCTCTATGGTCTAAATCCATCAGCAACATGACAATTCTAAACTAATCACAAAGTTGCAGCACTCAGTTCACTCACAAAGAGTATTTTGAACCTGTAGCCCACAATAAGATGATTTCTTTTCTCAGATCTCCCCTTCCTTCTGGAAAACCAGGCTGTGACTGGGAAATGCTGCAGGAAGAGGAGCTGGATGGCTGAGTTGGGGTATCAAATTTAACTTTAAAATAAGAAATTGCTCCTTTGATTGTATAGAATTTAGACTGCATATACAGAAATATCCATTCACATCCTGTGAAACATTCTAGTAGTGAATACAGTATCTGCCAGTCAACCAGACAAGATAAAAACTGGTATGCTTGGTCTGGTTTAGAGCACAAAGCTCTAGCTACTTATCACTGATCCTAAATAGACCCTCTGTGCACTTCTCTCCATAATTACAAAATAGGGGTAATTTAAGTCTATTTCATCAGAGTCTGGCAAGGATTGGTATTTATTGTTCATGGATTCTGAATGATCACACTGCACTGCAGTACAACTGTTTCAGGAGTTTTAACATTTGAGTTCCTATTATGTTATGTACTAGTTTTGGGGTTTGGGAAGTCACTGCTGCCTTTTACAGGCCCAACATTCCAATTCTGTTTCCCCAGTTCAAATGTTAGAAGATGATGCAATAAAAATCTTAATTCATCATATATTTCTATGTTCCTATACTTCAGCCTTACTTTGTGCCTGTGTAGATTTCTTAGGGTGTTTTTAAACATGAGGAAATTCTGTTGACAAAAATAAGACCATGTTTAATCTGTCTTTTCATTTCAACTAGTAATTAGTAATTTAAACAACTTCAGTACCAGCACCTTATTGCTGATAAAAGTCTAATGATACTGATGAGTCTTGTCACAATATAGAAGTGCTGTTTCTTAAAATTAACCACATTATCAACCTAACTTTTTCAAGGATATTGCAATTAACACTACTTCTTAGTGAATCAAGGTTAAGAGTCATTCTCTGGGATTCTAAACTCAATAAATAGATGATTTCTATGAATGTTAGGTGAGAAACCATCAGGCAATGTGTTTAAGTGGCCTAGAAATTATGGTTAAAGCACTGTGGCAACAGTAAAAAATTGCTACAGAGCTGGAGAGGGAAAAAAGAAAAAGGAAATAGAAGAGTCCAGTTGTTTCTGTGCTGCTGTGAGGGCAGGGAAGTGCAGAGGCACTCCCAAGGCTCCTCTCTGGAGGAGCTGGAAGGATGGGGCCTGGCTGTAAACCCCATGGACCTTGTTGGAGAAGCAGCTGATCCTCACCCAAGGTCATTCAGCTGCCATTACACAACAGCTCTGCCCTCCCAGAGAAGCTGGGGAGAGCAGGACTGCAGGGCAAGGCACAAAACCCAGCACTAGAACCAGTCACTAAGCATTAGCTCATCTAGAAAACCCATTTATGTGTTCTCTGCCTTCAGAAAAGACACAAAAATTCCAGTTCTCTTAACCCTCAATAAAATTCAAGGGCTATTTTACTAATTCTGTAATGTTTAGGAAGCTACCTTTCTCTGTCTTCTGGTTAAATGAGAAAGGACTCTGCTAAATGCAGTTTGCCTCCTCATCTCAGATTTGCTCCAGTAATAAACAATCTTGTAATTTCCACAGTTCTCCTGATAATGCTGCAAATATTCACATATCTGAGTCAGAATTCTCAGGAAGACCATATAAGGCACAATCTGCACATTCCCACATAACCAGAGAGGAATTTCCTTGCTAAGGGACTGGTAAGAGGTAATACCAAGTAATATATTAAAATACATTTCCCTCCTATTATCACCATTATCCTAATTATTAAACCCTGAAGAAGTCATCTCACAATAGCATTTTTATTTTGTGCTTTTAGGTTCCAAGTATGTTTTTAAAATGAACCAAGATGATCAAGAATGAGAGCAGGACAATGTAAGTCTGACCCCTCAATACAATTTCTTGACTGAGAACTTTTCCATGCCAAGTTAGGGATGGGAAATCAATGCACTTTGACAGCATCCACATGATTCAGAGCATCCCATGAAATAGATTCTAATGGCTGAAGGCCTTCATGAGGTATAACCTCCTGCAGAACACAATTTCTAGTCAGAAATAACAAGGAGCAGAACAGCTCTCATATTTGTAAGTAATTTTTTAAACAAAGAATTGACAAACGCTCACTTAGAAGATAAAATCTAAAATGGGAAGGTATTCTCCAAGTTTCATCCACTTAATGCATTTTATAACAAAGGTTATTTCCAAATTAAAAGTCTTTTCCTGTCAAATTCTGAGAAATACTGTGGGCAAGGACACAAAAGCATTCCACAGCTGTATTAACGACAAGGCTCACTGATCTGTGAATAACCTGAAAAAAATGAAGATTATTGAGTTACTTTACCAATCTATCCATCCATCACTAGTGAACAGGTCTCAGAATGATGGATTATCTCACTTCCCTCATGTTTATCCCAAGAAAGAGTTTCTCCTTAGAGGGAAAAACAAACAACTGATCCTACAAACAATCCAGCTAACTCTGCTTGCCCATTTTGCATTCATCTGCCAACAAAGTGATAATAAATACATCAAGTTTGTCTTTAAATGCCAGCTACATTTGAAGTTTTATTATTTCCCTGAAATGCAAGTGAAAACAATTAAGAAGAAAGCAGAGTGCAGCTCCTGGTACTATTCAGTATTTTAGTCAACCCAAGCAATAGTGCTAAGTTGTCAGTAATTCCAATTACATTTTCTGGTCCAAAGAAATGGAATAATTAAAAATTATAAGAGATACATAAATATGAAAATTAGGTATTTTGAAATGGAGGACTGAACTCATATCTCACTATGTTTTTTACATCACCTGTGATTGTTTCACATGTGCTGACACTCAAATCTGTCACACCTGATTGTCACCAGGAATTAACATTGTTTGAATTTCTCATTAATTTCTCATTAATATGCTAAATCATACAATTTACACACAGAAAAGTTCTGCATCTTGCAGACATGATACACATGTATAGATTTAGCTGAAAAACATGGTGTTCCGAATTTTTAATTATTACAGTCAGGTTTCCTGAAGTCCAGTCTTGATTTTAGACAACTAAAACCTTTCTAGAATGTAACAGGGAATTTTAAAGGACCTGAGACTACCCCAGAAGCTCTGACAGTTGTAGCAGGTAATAGTGCACACATAAAGGTAAAACTGATTATTCATTTTTAAATATATACAGGAACCCTTGGAATCAATCACACTATCCATCTTATCTCAGCCTGGCCTCTTAATCTTCCTGTAAATATGGGCACTGAAAGAGATGGAACTGTCTTAATCAGATCCTTCCTCCATCACTAAATTACTGCTGTCACTGTCACGGAGACAGAAAATTACAATTTCAGCCATAATCTGTAGGAACTACCACAAAGAGTGACACTGCCCACTGAATGCACAATGGGAAGGCTCAAAGTCTGTTTATAGGAAATACACATCATTAACCAACTCCCCCTAAAAGTCAGGGACTCACCAATTCCTCTGGCCAAGCAGCTGAGGATATTCCAGCACCTACTGCCACCCCAACATCTCAGCTTTTGAATAACTCTTAACAAAGACATGAGACACAACGTGTCACTGCAGAACCTTTGTGACATGACACAGTGTACAGTCACCAATTCCCTCTGAAAGTTCACATGGGAGAAAACTACTGCTTCTCAGAAAGTCAATCCATTTGCATGTTTATATTTGCAGGAGTCCAGAGGAAAGAATCTGAAACCAAACAAGAGACACCTTGCCTGCTCTGCCCCAAATTCAGTGTGTTCACAAAGCTAACACAGCAGCAGATGTAAAGGCTTGTCTGGGTTTTCCTCAAGAATGAGATATTATCATATTCACTTTTACTTAACATCACACTATTGCTACATCATTAGAAAGGAGGAGTCAGAACAGTTTAGTACCAAGAATGAAGCAAAGGAAGCTGTTAAGGGCCAGTGAAGTTTTGCTGCTTGTCAGCTCAGGAGAGCAGGAGGCTCCCAATGACCTTCCTTGTTCCACGACTCCAATTTATGAAGACAGAAACCTCCCATCTGTACCTCACCATATTGGGATGTACATTATAGTGATATAAAAGTTTAATTTTCTCTCCTAAACCATCCCTGCTTAAACCAATAAAGAAGGAAGAGCGCTTCTGCTCACTCGAGTGTCGTCAGCAGTTCCAAAAGGTTGTGGTGTTTATGCAGGATTCATTTGGGATGCAAGGATGTGACTTACAAATGTCTTTGACTCATTCCCATCAATATGCATGTGTGCCATTTATAACAGTAGCCTTGATGAGAACACACAGTGTAACTGGCTGCAAGAAACGCTTAAGAGGTTTACATTAAAGCAGAATATAGAACAGTGGTTAGAAATCACAGGCCAGGTGACACCTTCCTCTGATAAGCTGGTGATAAAAGCTGTAGGCTGTGATCTATAGGCTCTGGCGTTGCCTCTTTACTCCACAGCCCCAGCAGCATTCTTCACATACGGCTCACTTTGAGCAAGACAATCCTGAGGGCAGAGCAACTTTAAAAATTGTGATTAATCCCAAAAAATATTATGGTTGCCTCCTAAATTGTTCACTTAAAAAGAAAAGACAATTTTTTAAGAAGTTTTGTATTAGAATGTTTGTAATACAAACCTTTCAGAAGTATAATTGCTTTTTGGTTAGACAGATTAATTTGCTTCATCTATTAAAATACCATCTTTGGTGTAGAACTTAGACATTTTAGCAAAAAAACTCCAAAATGCAGCAATCAATGATCTGAAATAGAAAGTTCAGGCCATCTGAAGAACTCCTGTCATCACAGAATGATTTTCTGGTAAGAATATTTATAATACTTCTAGACACCTCTACTGCTAACTCGTGAAATATACTGCTGTTACACATCAGAAAACTGCATGTGCTGGTTATTAAATAAAAAATTAAGCCAGAAGGATTTTGAGAATGCAAGAAAAATGACATGGATAAGAATCTACAGAGCAAAAAAAGCAAACAAAATTTTAATTTTAATTATTCAATTTACTTTTTTCCCCCAGGTATTTGAAGGTTGAACTGCCAAAATTGTACTACCTCGATGGCTCTGATAATATTCTGATTTATTAATCTGCTGGTCACTTACAGATACCTGGCCTCACATGAAGTCCCACAAAGACACAAACATCCATAAAAATCCAGAAACACAAGTTCTGTTGCATGACTGCAGGCAGAGTAGTTACCTAACCTCAATTCTTGTTCACAAATTATCTGCCCCATCACCTAATTACGTAGGTCTGCGCTTTAAATCACCATGTAAATACAGCTCAAGGAGCAGATGAAAGGCTACTGACAGAAGATGGTAGCAAATAACATTTCTATTCAATGGAGCACAATTATTCCAGAATGTTTCTATCAACATATAACTGCATCCATCCTATAAACAGCCAAGCAGGATCAAGCTGTTAAGGCCATTCTTCTGGCAGTAATTTAAGGACTATTCTGGAGAAGAGAAACAGAATCTATCACAGAGACAAACAGGAATACCCAACAACCTGCTGTAAACCACAGTTTCATAGTAGCACACATGTAAAAAGCAGAACTAGTCCAGCACCAAACAAAGCAGGTAAGACCCTGCACTGTTATTTAAAGGACTGATGTACAAATATATCACTCAGACAAACTGGCCTCACCAGGCAAAACTGCTTTTTTTAAACAGAGCTAATGTTTACTTCAGACCTACAGGTTACCACATTAAACCCACATTGAGCAGATGGAAAGGCTGCCTGCCAGCAAAAGCAAAGATGAAAAAAAAAACCCTCAGCCTTTTAAAAGGCAGTTGAACTGTTGGAAACAACTGAAATGAAAACCACCCACCCTCTGCACACGGGTCCTTGATGGTCCCCAAAAGCACCAAGCACCAGCCAGAACCACGGGCCAGGGACACCTCAGGAGCCAGGGCAAGGACTGCACTGCCACCGCCACACTGAAGGGGATCTTGGTTTATCCTGGAATCAACTGGGCTTTTTTGTTTTACTTGCTTTCTAAGGCTCAGGGAGTGGAGAACATATGGCTGCTGTTTGGGATGTCAGACTGTAGCATGGCTCAGTGAAACAGAGCTGCATGGGATCTCCTCTGCTGTTCAGTTCATAGGAGATGGAACCTCACAGTCTAGAGAGAGCTACAAAATGATGCCAAGAGCATAATACATGATTTCACACCAATTGCTCTGTTTGTATAAAAGTCTGTGATGTAGAAAGGTTTGTTTTAAATCTAATTGTAAACTGGACACATGGCACCATTCTCCTCTTTCAGAATAATCCAATTCATTGGTAAATATATACCTGTGAATGGCAGATGCTTTCTCAGCATTAATTAGTAACACAAACTGACAACATGGACCTTCCTGCAGCTTCAGGAAAGACTCACATACAATGTTTTTCAACCTATCCAAATGCACAGTCACCCTTTTGGACAGATATTACTGAGTCTCCTCTGTCAGATTTAAAAAGGAGCAGCTACATATGGGTTAAATTAAATGGCTTTCTCATTATTAACTTACTCACAGCAGCCACCACAGCCAGCAGCTACTACAAGCTGCATTTGTAATACAATGAAAAATGTTGCCAAGTATTATCCTAGTGAATGATACCTCTTACATTACAAGGGTTTCCTTTTTGGAATAGGTCTGGGTAAGTGAGGCTTACCTGCAGAAGCACTGTGGGATCTCTCCTTGCCCATACAGAGGGAACAAAAACGGGGTGTTGCCATAGCGGCCAAGGCACTGCAGGAATTTTTTTGTTGCCTGAAGACCTTCCAGAGTGCTGCTCTCAGTCTCTGACACCATTGCAATGGAGTGAAGGATGAAGTGCTGCAAGCTGGGGGTCAGCTTCCGTGTCTGGAGGAACTGAGCAAACGTGCTGCTCTCGTAGGCTGAGGGAAGAGCACACGAGGCACTGAGCACACTGTAACATCTGCACTGTCTCCTGTGCTTCCACTCAAGTGCTTTTGGATTCCAGCAAGTGAGTTTTTCAACAAACACCTTGCTGAAAATGGATCATCCAATCCATGAAAGTTAGAAGAACTACTCCCAGAAAGTGAGTTCTCAGAACACAGAAATAGCACTCCATTAAAATATTTCAAAATATCACCAACCTACTTTATGGGTCTTCAATGGCATTGCCTATTCATTGTTAGACTTGAAATGTGATCTAACTTGACTTGTTAGACTTGATCTAACTCCATTTCCCAATCCTGGGAGAAAAGTGAGAAACTGTGGGCAAAAATCCATTGCAGTGCCTTGGGATGCTGTATCCAGTAAATTACTCAAAATATCACCCCAAATGACACCCACTCCAGAACAGGACTGCTGCATCCACACTGCCAGTGGATATCTTTGCTCAGAGAAACCACTCAGACAGTGCCACAATGCAGAGATGAGAAGGTGCAATATTTATTTCAATTTGATGACTTGCTGGCAACAAACAAATGTGGATGAGACAGAGAAGAAAGGGATCAAGGACTCCATATCCCCTTTAAAATAATATTATTGCTGGCACATTTTGAAATTCAAAGAAACACAAGTCTTCTGGGAGATGTTTAAAGCATGTTGGCATTGATACATCTCTGAAAAGCTTTAGTCATCTTCATAACTGAAAGATTTTTTGCCAGGAAAAGATTGTATTAAGCAATAGCATATTTCCATACTATTCAGAGATCTGCTCTTATTTCAGTCCTGGATAAATTCCTAAGTAGCTCAAAAACACTCCTATCGGTGCAGAGACCAGTATTATCAAGCTATATATTCTGTTCAAGATTCAACCACTGCTTTATTAGAAAATGTATCTTACTGCTCTTTGTACAGCCATGCAGAAAGTCATAAAATGACAGGGTTTTATTTTTTGTTTTATCATTCTAAAAAAATTCTCAAGTTTTCCTCACTTTAAACTTCTTACATAATTCCATATTTTACAAAAAACAAGCTTTAAAAAAATTCTTGACGCTCATGAACTCTTCCTATTAAAAGTCTGCCTTCCCACGAATGCAGTGATCTCATCAAGAGCAATTTTAAATTTCTGAAGATTTTACATTAGCCTAATCTGACTCAAAATATTCTCAATTACTTCTCTGGCTATTTTAAAATGTAGGAACAAAATCTGTTTAACTGTCCTGAAAGTAAATCTAATGTTATTTAGGTACATGAATCAATGGATTCATTTAAAATTGATGTGGCATCTCCTTTTTTTACTTAATAAATTTTCTAAATGCCACCAATATCCTCACTGAGCACCTCCGTTTCTTCCAGCAGCAGCAAACAGAGATCACCTGTAATCAATAAACCACTTCAGCCTAATGAGTTTTTCCCCCTTCAGGATTTTCTGGAGTTCATTACAGACAATCCTTTTCTTAATCTTACCAGATCTTGATACTGACTGTTTTTCTCTTGTGTATGTTTAATAATTTTCTCTGATGTTTGTAGTCCTCTTTCGTCACTATTTCTTTTTAACAGATTTTTTTCTCTTTGCCTTAGTTTCCTTTCAGACTCCAAGAACTGAGAACATCTCTTCATTCTTTGTACTGAGGAGCACAAACCCAAAACACCTTCCTCCTGTTAAGCTGATTTCCCTCTTTGACCTGCTGCTCGTTATTCTTCACACACTATAGCTCAAATCTAGTCTGATTTCCTCTCATCTAAATAAGCCAACACTTGATAAAAGCACTTTGAACTTGCCCTTTACAACTAAAGAGCATTAAATTACATTCACTTTCATAGTTAAAAAATTCCATTTTCTCCATTTCTGATTTGTTGTAAAGCATTGCAAAGGTTTACCTAGTAATCAAAAAAAAAGACAGAACATTCAGATACATCACATTACTTTTAAAAATACCTGGGGGAGGGGAAGAAAACACTTAAAAATGACAAAAAGCATTTTGCAACCTTGGTGTAATATATAATTTTGCTGTTAAAGAAAAATGTAAATAATAAATTATGTGGGAACTAGAAGAGCAAGTGCTTAAGTAGAAGAATTTAACACTGAAGGGAAAAGGTCACAAAAAGGTCAAAGCATACTTTAAAAATGAATCTGTAAAAATAAACCACATGAAAACACAGGAGAGCTCTCAGAATTGTGCCTCCCTGAAGGAACTCCTCAGAAGGGAGTGTGCCTTGTTCAATGAGACACTACCTTGGTACTCCTCGGGGTGCTGTTCATAGTCCAAACAAAATGTCAGAAATTTCATAAGCATTCTCTTCTCCACCATGGTGAGCTGCCTGCTGTTGAACACATCTGCTCTAGAACAAGGCACCTGCAAAGTATTTTTTAATAATTTCAGATACTTTCCACACTCTGAATGAAAAAACATCAAGCAACAACAGCATGATTAAATAACACACTTCAAATTACTGTTTTCAATTACAGTTATTTTCTTACATATTTATTTCCCCTGTTTTCTATTGTAACTAAAGTTACCAATTTTCCACAGTAAGAATATCCAAAAATCTTTTTTTTATTTCCCTTCAATTTCACTTGCATCCCTAACTGCAGAGATAATCACTTGAGTTTGTATTAACTCTGCCAATATCTCCTGTTGCCATTATCACACTGATTTCTCTTGTATGCAACGAAGACAAATCAAGTCTATGTCAGAATCTTAAAACCTAAAATCTGTGAATCTTCAAGAATTAACTGCCAGTCAGTCATGGCCTAAACATTTAGCCTGAGGTAAAGATTTATGTCAATATGCTGGACTGCACAATTTTATTTTAGTTTGGTCTGATTTTATTTTAATATTTCTATATAACACATATAAAGATATTTTATTCCAGAAATTAAATCAGAATCATAATTAAGGAAAAAGCATCAGCTTCTTGTCACAAAATTCTCAAAAAACCCATTTCAAGCTTCTTGACTTTCAGAAGAAGAGATGAAACACATGCAGCACATTGTTTTCTGTACCTGTTCTACCTTCCCTTCTCGGAAGGCGAGAACTCGCGTGGCGTTTTTGAACTCGGCGTATCTGCTCACGTTGGACTTAATGAGGAGCTCAATTAACAGCCCCCGGGAGTAAAGCAACTGCACAGGGAGGAGAAAGGAAGTGGTGAGTGAAGAGAATCAGTGAAGCACCCAAGAAAATCCTCACCAGCTGCTCCCTAAATCACCTGAACCAAGAGGCACCTTTTCCACAGGTAAATTCCATGACTCCCAAGCTAAGGTTTAGTCATATACTATTTAATTTTTCTAGAAGCTACAAATATATGATGAAATACAGAAGGGCCAGAAATGCAACTATGAACTGAAAATGTTTGTCTGTATTGAAAAGTCTCGTGGTCCTGAGGAACAGACTTTGCAAGATCACACAGGAACTTTCTGGACAAAGGTTTCCTGGGGCACCAACAAGGACGCTACAAGGAAGCTGATGTTCCCTGCCAGGGAAACCCCAGCACAAACTCCCAGCCTTGCCCTGCTGACCACTCTTGTGTCTGAATTTCTGGGATTTGCTGCAATTAACACCATGTCCCACAGTGGGACAGCCAGAGTATAAAAAGGATACAAAATAGCATTATCTGCTCAACCACCACCCACTGGCTGGTGTACAAGATGTCATTGCAAGGATGCTTGGAAGTGGGATCCACATTTGGAACACAGTTTGCAATAATGCATTTTGTAGTGTCTTTGCAAAGAATCAAATGAATTATTGAAGAGAGTTTATTTTTCAGTTTCCAGAGGTTTGAAAAATCTTTTTAGGCACATTATATAAAGTGATGCATTCAACTTTGAAAAAACTTCCCTGTGCTGTAAAAACCATTTTTTATCTTTTTGAAAAGATAAAAAATCCGTATGCAGATTGCTCTTTCTTGTTTAAAAATACAGTTTTTAATGGTGCTACTTAAAAGAAGAGATTTTGCTGTTACTACCTAAGTGCTGTATTTCATGGCAATATTCCTGAGCCGTGTCTTTTAAACTCTTTAGTTATAAACCACTTAAGGACACACATTAAATAGCTCGTGTTTGTTTTAGGAGTAACAATTCTTACTTCTCAAAGTGGCTATTTTGCCTTAAAGGTGCTGTCTCAACGTGAAGGGTTTTAAAACAAATGTCAGCATTTTAAGCAAAGTAAAAGTACTTACACAAAAAGAGTCATTCCGTTCCTACCTTAGAAACTAAATCAATATTAAACCTTCTGCCTTCTCTAACAATTTGGGAATAGGAGATTTTCTTTGGTTCTTGGGCAGCATTTTCAGAGGGTGCAGCTTCTGCCTGGGCCGGTTGCGGAGCGGGGTCGCCTGCAGCCGTGCCGGGAGCAGCTCCTGCCCCGTCCCCTTCACAGCTCGGGGGCTGCTCTGCCTCTGGGCTCTGTGGCTCCTCTCCAGGGCTCTCCACTGCTGGATTCTCTTTCTCCAACCCTGGAGGACTCCCCTCTGCTGCTGGGCTCTCCTCTGATCCCAGAGGAATCCCCTCCGCTGCTGGGCTCGCCTTCTCCGGCCCTGGAGAAACCCCCTGGGCAGCAGGGGCTCCAAACACAGGCAGCTTTGGCAGTGCTCCAGCTTCTTCAACACCTTCAGCTGAATCCTGACTGATTAAAAACACAGAGGGGGAAGAGAGGGGGAAAAAATCTTTTTGAAGAGTCTTAAAAACTTGTTTGAAGTTTTGAGTCAGTGCCAGAACAGCAACCTCAAGCATTTCTAGGAAAAGCACTAGAATTTCTTTATCCTGGCCCATTTAGGTGCTCCACCCACTAACAAACTTTGGTTCTTTGGCTGCAAAGCTATAATTCAATAGACTATTTTTACTGAGGAGAAAAAACACCACCAAAAATTTGAGTTTTTACTTTACATATACTCAAAAGCTAGAAGTATCTCAAAATTAAAATCAAGGCCCTCATGATAAAAGAAACACAGCTACATAAACAATAGAAATGGACTATTTTGAAATAAAACCATTAACTTGACCAGGTGTTCCCTATGGATTAAAACCCATGAAGTTGAAAAGCAAATATGCATTATGGTCATTAAGCTGAGATACTGCCCTGAAGAAAACAGACAAGCTTTACACAACCAAGCTCCTCTGCAGCCAGGATCCCAGCAGGGCCATTGAGAACCACACCACTTGGACCCACAGCTTCAGTAAAACTTTCAAATTCCTGTTTCAGCTCTGCCCTTGCATCCTAATTAGTTGTTCAAGCAGCAATGCTGTTATGCAAGTGCTCCAAATCCATGCACAGGGGATGAAGGCAGCCACAGGAGGGACATTCCCACATAACATTCACTCTGCACAGTTAATTTCCTTTCCACAACATTTATTTAAAATTCCCCTTATAAAGCAGCCCTCCACTTTTAATCTCATCTTCTTGTTTTATGTTGAACTTCAATGACACCTCCCTTAGAAAGCAGGACTTTTGAACTTGGTTTAGTTTACACTACCACTGAGATGAATCAAATCAGTGTCATTGTAAGTGAAAGGAGTTCAGCAACAATTCCAAACTATCTTTTTATCTTTATACCACAAGCCATTAATGCACTGAATAAACAATTTAACCTTGGCTGAAAACTAATGAACTATGATTTTAAAGGTGACCTGCAAACACAGAGTATTAACAGGATGGTTAAAATTCCCAGAACAGCAAGGAATTTCTCAGCATCAATACCAATGTGCTCCCTCACACACCTGCAGCCTTGCCGATGGAAGCAGGGGCGGGATTTCTGTTCAAAAAGGAACAAAACCTGGTATCCTTTAAAAATTGCTCCTCATTTATGAACTCATAGAGTTCATATGGACTCATGAAAAGTTTGGAAGTGATCTCCCAGCCTGGGCACAGTCACCAGGAAGCACTTAAGCCATGACTGGGGTAAAATATTGCCCTGGGAAATACAGGAACTACTACAAGGAAACACTAATGAGAGAAGGCTGTTTCTGTACATTAATTATGTCTTTTTGCTTCAGATTGCCAGCATTAAGTAACTATAAAATATCAAAGAGAGATAAGTACTTTGTCAAATGTTCAAAAAAGGAATCTCTGCTACAAATTAAAAAAAAAAAAGTCAATTAACTTTTGGGGTTCTATTTGGATTTTGGGATTTTTTTAGGATTTTGGAATATGGTGTTTGTGGAAAGTGCAAAAGCTCTTGCCAGTAATTCAGTAACTAAGAATGAAGCTTTTATTTAACTCATCCTAAACCTTTATAACACAAAATTTCATTCTAGCTTCTCCCAATCTCAATGAACAGTTCATCTCAATTTAAACATACTTACTACTTTTTAAAATCAAAATAAACTTGGATTCATAATACACTGTATTTTTCTATATCACTCTGAAAAGCAGTGTAACAGAAATATTTACATATTTTAAATCTCTATTCACTTCCCATTAAAGAATAGGTAAATCTTCATTGTTTGCAGCTTCACACTTTTTATAATGAGAGTCTAAAAACTGTATATAATCTAAATTCATGACATCCTTCCTATAGGACCAAATATCCCTGAATAATGTAAGAAACTGTCTACAAAAATGACTCAAATTGAACTTCTGTACAGACAATTCTTCTCCTAATTCAGAAAAAAATAATACATCTGCAGACAAATTGTTGTGTAAATTTAGAATATTATCTTCCACCATTCATCAATTAATGGTACTAACAAAGGAATATCTTAAAATGAATGTGTCTTATTAATGCCTTGTAACAGCAACCCCTTCAGATAGGTCAAATGAAAAATTGCCAACCAGCTGGTTAATTTATTCAGCACAGGTGTTCACTATTTATTTTTCAGCCATTTGCCTTTTTTCAATCCAGCTTGTTGTAGACACAGTATTCTTTCCCTTTGATGGATGCACTTTGTTCTAAGGCCATTCATTTCAGATTTGCACTGTGTATATTATACTGCTACCCAGCTGTTTATTCTTTCAAAATAAATGTTTAATGGTTACTTCATAGGAGTTACAAAAGTTAAGCAAAAACAACAGAATCTAGGCAGAACATGTAAATTGTCAGAAACACAGTAATTGACTCTCAGAAAGTTTGAAGCTCTTTTGGAGAACTTTTTCTTTGCCAGGTTTATTAATCTTTATTAATCTTCCTTGGGAGAAATGTTTTGGTTTTTTTTGGTAATGACCAAGATAGCACTGTACTGAGCTAAGTTGAATGCTTAAAAGCTTCATTTTACCCAAGCATAATCTCACTTCTAAGTGTGAAATCTCAGTGCTAGGGGGACTCATTTGGGAGCCAGCTATCAGTCAAAAATTATACACAAAATTAAAAGACTATGAAACCTTTCCATCTGATTTAATTCTGGTTCTGAACATTATTTATTATGACAACAGGATGACAATTACAATATCCAAGTTCTATTGCTTTAAAATGAGTATTAATTTATCTGCAATCCAGTCAAGCACCATTACTGTGCAGCACTGAACCTTAGAAGCGTCTGAAGTCTGTGACCTTCAGGTTGTACATATGTAATTCACACCTTTTTTCCTCTATTTATGATGTTTACAGAAAGAAATCTGTATTTCTCTATGAGTATGTGTCAGCATTTCATTTAGCTACCTATGGTATTTTCTTAGGGATTCAAGGTTAAACTTACAGAACTATCTCAAAGAATTTCCTCTCAAGAATTCTGGAGGATGTTGAGTACAAAATCCAGAAGATAAAAATAATAAATAAATAAATAACAGTTCAGTTAGTTAAATTTGTATTCAGTGGATTGAACTTCAGTAAGTTAAATTCATTGCATATAAAAAGGACAAAGGGCAAATATTACTTTATAATTTTACCACAGGAAGTATTTCAGAGTTTCAGAACTGTTGTCCATTTGTGTTCCTGTTCTTTTGTATGTGGTAATTAGGGGTTTAATTTTTGACTATGAGAACAGCAGCTTTTAGGCAAATTAAGAATGGAAAAATTTAATTGATGGCAGTGCACAGCTGCCACCTACTACTAATATCTAAACACAACACTTCTGTTTCCTACTCAGAAGTATATCACAAACTCACAAAGTTGGCCAACAAATTACACTGCACCCAGAGAGGTCATTTAGGAGGGATCAGGTTGTTTCAGTGAATTGATTTCAACAAAGCACAAGGACATGAGAACATTTCAGAGGCCAGGGTTGCTTTTTGAGACAATGTGTAATATGGCAGCATGGTGAAACCCTTAAAACCAAAAGCACAATATGATCATTTACTCCAGGCATATAAAATTGTTCATGAATTTCTACATTTTTACTTACTCGCCAAAACAGAAATCTTCTACATGTTGAATAGTTTTATCCTTGCTGCTAAGAGGAATTGCTTCTTCATCCTCAAGGATCAGTTTTCTCCATTCCTCACATTCATCACTGAGATCTGTCTTTTGCTTAAAAGAACAAGTATAATATTACATATTATACTGTGCAAGCTGTTCTTGAACAATAAATCTCTGCAGACACAAATAATATGTACCATCTAAAGAAAAAAAAACCTTTTAACTGTCCTAATGTTTTTTTTAATTTATATTTTTTGAGTTAAAACAGAGCTGGTTACTTTATTACCCCATGCCAGCATTTGTACTAAAGCACGGGCTCTAGTAATCTGAAATCCAGGCTTTAGTAGAGAGTTGAATGTAACTTGGAATACAATCTCATATCTACATACATACAGTCTACATACAAAAGACAGGTTTGCCATAGCCAGGGTAGTTCCAGATTCTGTGACAAAACTCTTTGAATGGAGACCATATAGAAAAACTTGGTGATCTGGGGGATTATATTAATCTGTGCACACAGGAATCACTAAATCATACAACACAACTCACAGGATATGAAGCTCTGGCACTGAGCAAGTGCCCTGATTATGCCAGGAGCCAGCACAGTGTAAAGAGCAGGCATGAGACTGAGCTGAGAAACTTCCATCTTCTACGGCCCAACAGGCTCCGAGCATTTCCGTAAATAACAGAGCAGCCATTTGCTAATGCAGCCCTAGTGCTCCATCTCCTGAATAAATATCCTCCCTGGAAGATTTCTAGTGGACTGCCATGAATCAGATAAACTTTGGTCATTGAAAGATACACTATCAGCATTCATCTTTTTGTCCTGGTTACAGGACATTTCAATGCAAGGATCCAGCACCCACTTCTCTGCCTCTAAGGAAGAATCAGCTGAATACAAACGAGAAAAACAAAAGGGCTGAAACATCAGAGAGTGGAAAATAATCAAAGAGGAAATGGAAAATACCAGATTATCATAAAGGAACGGAAACAATGGTGGAGATTTTTCTTTTTAAGCTCAAGAACCCAGGAGTGTGGCTGAGCACCAGGCTGGTCTCAATCAGATTGACAAGGCAGGCACATCAGAGCCTCAGACTGCCAGGCCAGAGGGGTGAGGCTCAGCCAGGAAAGCTGGGAACTACAAACCTCTTTGATCTGTCAAATTACCAAAGAGCAAAAGCAGGGAGGTAATTTGTCTTGAAATAAATCATGCAAACAACAGAGATGCAATGTTAAGGAGGCCTAAAAGAAACAATTTGGGAAAATTTTACCTGATTTTCTTTAATCCAGGACAATAATCCTGAAAAGCTAAAGCTGGCCCAGTTTCCACCATAGTAATTTCTCCTGTAAAGAAAAAAACAAAAGGAGAACTTGTTGGACAGGTAAAACAACTTTCTCAGATTTAAAGAAAAAACAACCAAGTCTGATACATTCAAAACATTTTACATGGCAAGATTTTTCAGATGCAAAATAGATAAAAATTATTATTTCACAACTCTTAATGAAATGCCTCTTTGTATGCATCTCTGACCACACACATTATAGTCCAAAATCAAATTATTTGTAGGGTAAATGGATAATGCTGAGAACAATACATGGGATGGTGTGAAGAGGAAAACAGAGATAATATTGCTTTTTGGCCAAAACTGGCTATCTTATCCATTATGTCAAATACAGGAAAGTGCACTTTATTGTTTATTTACTGCTTACACAACGTATTTTGCCTATTACAGGCTGTGAAGATGCTCTGGCAAAACACTCATTGAACTGCATGTACTGCAGGTGGAGCCAAAGGAACTGAATTTGTACAAAGTGATCATCCCTCCCTGAGCACTTCCCAGTTTCTATTTACCACCTTCTTGCCTGAAAAAGATTATTTACTGCTTTTAAATCACAGAAAATTAATAGTTATGCTGTAAATTAAAGGAAGTTTCTGCTCTCTCTTTTTAAAATTTCTCTACCAATATTTCTCTAAACATCTGTTGGATTAGTTGGCTTTTGTTGTCATGCATAGCACATCTTAAATATTTAACAACTCTGAGAAGAAAAATAATAGAGCAATTACATTTTAAAAAGTCACCAGTCCTTGCAAAATTAAAAGTTATTTCAGGATTTATCTCTGTTTTCTGGCAATGTGTACTGGCTCTTCAGAACCCTCAAAGATACCAAAAATACCCTCCTGAACAGATAGCTAATGTTATTGCATACACTAAAAAAAAAAAAAAAAAAAAAAAAAAAAGTAGGGAGGAAGATAGGGTTTGCATTTTAAAGAATAATGTGAAGGCTGTTAAATCAATCTTATGATAACCTCCTCCACTTTTAAATTGTAGAGATCAGTGTGATAACAGTGAAAAGCTAAATTCAGGTTAGATTCTCCTGACTAGATTTACGATGGGATGCTTTTGACAGGGCTTATCTGCACTGACAAAGACTTCATCAGGAGTGTCAGCCCTGCTCAGCACCAGAGCTGCTGCTCTGGACCACGGTGCTTACTTAGCATATGAAGGACAGATGTCTGCTGAGCACTGCCTAATTGCTCCTGACTACAAACTGACCTAAAAAAGTCTTTCAGCTCCTGCAAGGCAATAGTGAAGAACATAAATAGGACATCTTTTGCAAAGACAACAGAATCCAGCATTCACTGAATAAAGGTGGCTCCAACAAGGGATTGGGCAGCAGTGACAGCACAGCTCCTTCTGCACGTGGTTCCCAGGCAGGAGCTCCAACCCCCTGGAACAGGAGTTCATCCTTACTTTGTGTGACTGACACGGTGAGCTCCAGAGCTACTGCTGTTTGGAATCACAGAGAACACAAAGCAATGAGGATTAAATCCATGAAATGCCCGATTCTGTGAGATTGCAATCTGTAAGAAACACTGACAGTTGTATGTGGTAACTTCTAGCTTTGTTTAAGCTGTCAATAGTGCAGGGTAATTTTTTTCACGTTTCTTCAGATTCTACAGAATAAAAAACTCAATATCCACGTATTATCTGTCATTTCTGGTCATTTCCATGGCCATGAAGATTTATTTTTAAGGAAATGTGCTGCTCTAATTGCAAGTTTCTTGAATATGGAATACAATACATAGCTGTTGGAGCACGCAGTGCCATGATCACAAAAATCCCAGAAAAAACCTGACTAAAATTAGGAGTGGGTTTCTTCAATCTACACCAATATTAAGTCATGCATATTTAGACTATTTAAAGTTGGAACTTTCAGTAAGAGAAATTAACATGACTTTCACAGAAAGTTACGAAAGTTTGTTTGTGAGCTGTCAGACATCTTTCATGTGAACATTCCTCTGTTCATCACCCTGGTTTTCCTTTGAAATTATTTGTTTTACCCATGTTGAGGCAACCCAGTGTGTTCAACAAAGCACTGCATGACCCTACTGTGGAGCTTCATCCATTCTGAGGAGCTGGGACAGCCCCTCTCCACAGGAAAATGAACTATAGCTGTCCCTCCTTTCCTCTGGTGTCTGAGCACCCTTCCCAAGCTGGGTAATGCCACCTCAAATATTCATCTCCTCAAGTAGCAACTTCCAGATTTTTTTTTATCCTGGAATTTTAATTAGTTTCACTGTGCTACATGATGAATCAGGATTGCTTAATTTTCTCATCTGAAAACATTACAGAAGGAAGACAGGGCAGACATGATTACTGACATAATGAGCAAAGTTTATAGCAAGTCTTGAAGAGGCATTCTGAGAAGAGCTGACTAATGGTTTTACAATTAGGACTCCTTTGTAACCAAATATTTTTGTTATAATTGCCCTGAAGATGAACTGAGGAATTCCTTTAAGTAATGGTCAAGATCAAAGCCTAATTAAAGCTAAAATATTGTCCCAAAATCTCCAGGCCTAAGTTCTCCTCTTCTCTTGCTATATTAGCAAACTACAAAGATAGATATTCTCTCCCTTTCTTAGGGTTATAATCCAATTATCCCCTAACTAAGAACAGGAATCATTTTGAAGGTGTAACAGCAGAGATGGAAAATACTTTTTCTACCAAGTTAGAGCAGAGATGTTTTCCTTCCCTACCCTACATGATTTCCTAAATTATATTTGTTCAACTCCTCCTGTATTACCTGGATTTCACCTGAATTACATCACTGCTCCTTTCCCTTCACCATTTTCAAATCTCTAATCTGCAGTGATGTTCCCCCCCTCACACAGCCCCCTGAATTATCAGGCTAGCCCAGAGATCCGAGGCTTTGAGGGGAGGAATATCAGGAGATGGCAAAGATTTCCAGAAGAGGCTCTTACCCCGAGATAAGTTGGTTCAGCTCTCTTTATTCTGTGATGTCCATGTGGAGAGTGGGGCAAAAGAGGATGAACAGGAAATGTCAGGGGTCTATATAGACTTTGGACAGGGTGGGCTTCTCTGGCTCTCCGCCAACCCCACTGGGGCAAGAAGGAGGGTCCAGGGTTATCTGATCAGAGTCACAGGGTCCTGGGGAAGGGGGCACAGAGTGCCCATGAGCTCACTGTAACACTACAGTTCGGAGCTAACAGCAGAAAAAAGTTTTGCAAACTTTTGGAAATGTAGCTAAAGTACAATTTTAAGTCTGTAAGTACCTTGTCTCTTGTCCTGTGCTACTTTTTCACTTGTTTCTTCAGTTACCAGGACTGAAATAATTGGCAAATTCCAATCTGGAACACTGAAATCACAAATTGTTTCTGACTGATTACCAATCTTGATCTGAACCAAGAAAATATCTAACATGCCCTTCTGCAGACAGACTGCAATTTGAGAAACTGGACATTTGTGAAAGCAGGAGAGTCCCAATGAAAATGCAAGACCAGCAAATGCATTTGTTGGCTGGTGCCTGTTGGGGAGCTGGCCCTTGCCAGGCCACAGCCCCCACGGCGACACTCAAAGCTGCTGCTGCCTGCACAGAAGCTGCTGATGCCTCAGGATTTCCCCCAAGAGCTGCCTGGATGTGTCTGTCCAGCACCTGATCTTCCAGAAAGAAGTCCTGACCCATCAGAGCTGCTGTCTTTTGCACAGGAAGTTACTGCCACATCGATTTTAAGGATCTGAACACAAAATGAATTATGTTTCAAACCCATAAAGTTTCCTGTGCTACCTATTAGTGCACAGGCAGATGTATTAAAGATTCCCAGAACCCAGTGATGGTGTTTAGGAGCTGCCTGGTTTTCAAGAGGAGGGGTTTAACGCAAACAGCTCCTGAGATCCTTCAGAAAAAGGGTGGATAGTGGTGGCAGTCACTTGTGCTACATCACATTAGATCCTGGGATATGAACATGACCAAAGGGAATTACCATGGCCCAGCTAAGACCATGTTTTACTCTCCAGCACCTTTGCTGTGAGATTGCATCCTAAACCAAAATAAACAGAAAAAAGACTTTTTCAAAAAAACTCAAAAGATACCAGAATTAACAATTTTTTCCCTAGTTTTCCTAACTGAAATTAAATAATTTCCTTATTTTTCTTCCAAGAAATTGACCTGCCTAGAGAAGCACCTGTTTTGCTCTCTGGCTGCTGTACTCCCACAGCTCCCTCACTTCACAGCAGTTAAAGATCCAAAAAAGGGCTGTATGGATACACAGGGTCTATTACAACATATATTTTACAAGTTCTGGAAAAAAAAAGTGAGACAAATTATCTAGCAGAAAGTAGAACAAACTACAAAAGTAGGGATCTTGGACTGGGGGGGGGTACAGGAATAAGGTCCAGCACACTTCTGGATGCTCAAATAAAAATTTTTGGATGCAAGGAACACTCGAGTGCTCTACAGGCAAAGTATTGGCAAAAAATAAGAAAGGTAATAGGTGTAAAGAAGCAAAACATGCCCAGTTTGCTCTACTTCTGCACCTAGACCCTCCTTTGCCTTTGAATTAAATTCTGTGTGGAAAGATAAATAAGCCAATGAGGAAGAATGTAGACAATAAACTGCAGCCTACAAATGCTGTATTCCAGATGCTGAATATCAAATACAAAATGTAGCTAAACATGCCTCACCCCTACCTGCCTCATCCTCAGTAACCAAACTGGTGCATAACTACAGATACAGAATTAAAAGAGGCAAATAAACAAAAGACCAAAAGCAGAAACTTGAGCAAGTGGTTAGGAGAAAGTCTTTTGCATGTGCACAATTAGTACAGGAAGCATATTCACTTCAAGTGATGTACTTTTAGTCTTGATCTACCTTTCTCCAGCAGCTTCAAATTTAAACTAAGTGCCAATCTCCACATTTTAAATTGCAAATTACTTTTCTAAATCATTTAACAAATATCCTTGAAATCTCACATGTCAACAGCTCATTAATATCTACAGTAAATGTAGCTCTCTGAGAAGAACCACAGATTTTATGTTTATTGAGACAGATAGCTGGCACAGAGAAATAGAGCTCCTTCAATTACTAGTTGGCAGAAGCTAACTTCAGTTTAAAATCAGTCTACAGCAATTTATGGCAACACTGCAGTGAAGTGACTATTTTGAATAAGATTAGCTACTGCTGATGGCAATGCTTGGACAGTGTTTATAAATCAAACTCAGAACTCAGTATTTTATAATAAGCCACTTCAAAACTATCTCCCATAATCACCTAAGCAGTATATTATGATAAATGCAAACATGGCTGGAGATTAAAAGTAATAAAATAAGGTACACAAGGTAATGAGAGCAAGTAAACTATAAACAAAGACTTTATGCATGTATGTGTGCAATACCTGGTGCCTGACTTAACTCAGGCCTTTGTAAGGAACAACAGATTAATCAAAGTAGCACATCTAACACAGCTATTTCAGTAACCCCAAATCTCATTTCTTTATACACTGAGAAAAAATTTAATTAATAATTCTGATCTTTAATGAGGGGAACAACTTACATTGTTAAAAGGCAATATTCACCATAGTAAAAACAGGCATGGATAACAGAAATCAAAGTTCCAGTGGCCGATACTATTACAGACTTTGATAGCAAATGAAAAGAGAAAACCGAAATAACACAAGTCATTCTCAAAAAGAGAATGGGATAATTATTGTCAGGAATGAGAATCAAGGGCACTAAACGTGCAGCCATTCCTGCCTGTTGCAAAGAAGCAGCCATCACAGCATCCTTCACCACAGCACTGATGTTCCAAATCCCTGAGCTAGCTTCCAAAAACTGCCTGCTCTATTGATGGAAATAACACCCCCAAAATAAGGCAGAGACAGAAACATAACATTACTTGGTGCCAGATGAAGAGACAGGAGTCCTGCAGCCCACACTGACAGAGACACAGAAACCCTTCCAGTCAGTTTAGCTCTCAAAAAGGAAATTACTGGAGTAACTTACGAATCCACATGAAGAACTCTCTGGCCACTTCTGGCACATGCTGCTGCAATAATGGACTCAGGCAAACCTGAAATGACACGTGCAGTTTTTAGAACATAGCATGCAATGATATATTTAAAAATTGCAATAATGGTAGAACTTGGTCAGAAGCAGGCAACTCAAACAAAAGAAATGTTACAATGTGAACTACTGAAAATTTTTGCAGTCTCATGCAACTGAAATAATGAACACTATTTTGTGCTCTTTAACATTTTACTGACTCTTAATTGCAACTTTAATTTTTTTTTTAATAACTCTATGGCACATACCACTTGCAAACACTACTGAGTTAAAGCTTGGCACCAGCATCTTCTCTCCACACCCTGCCCTCATAACCAGACTGAGTAATTGCCAGCACAATGACACCCAAAGCTTAGTGGGTGCTCTGTAACCACATCCTTGGTAATGCAGACAGGTATTACCTGAGGGCATTTCTGGGCATTTTTGTTCACTTCAAAGTGAATAAAAAGACTGTGATTGTCCTTAGAGTGGTATCCCTATCAAAATCTCCCACATTATGTAAATACACTCTACCAAATTAGTATGTTTTCACAATATTAAAAATGTAGCAAAAAAGCACACCAAAAAGCTGTGATATCTCTACCAGCAATACATGCTTGGAATGGCACAGGATCCCACTGGAGTCCAATAAATAAATGGGGCTGTTCTGCAATCTCTGCTCCCACTCACCAGATTTAACATGCCCAGTTAAATGCCTTGGATTCTGGAGCAGGTTCAGAAAAGCAGGACAGCTCACCAGCTAAGCTCTGTAGCACTAACTTCCCTCAAATCTCTTTTTCAATGATCTGTTAGCTGTTTAAGCAAGTAATTCAGGAACAGCAATTAAAACTCTAGAGACTGGTATTAGAAGACACTTAGGCCATGTATTCAATGAAGGGATGAGATTTAAGGATGTTGAAAGGAGTGTTTGGCTGCTCTGATTTCCAGCAGCACCAGAAGCGGCTGCACTGGTGCAGCTGCAGAGACAGACACGAAGGGGAAAAAGCAGCAGTGGAAGGACACAATCTACTCTGGCTCACCCCACGACAAACATCATCTCCAGCAGAATTCCAGGCCTGTGCTGTCTATTCCTCAGACAGAACGGTGCCTTCACCAACAAATAAACCTTGCAGTCTAGAAAACATCCTCTGGGAGCTGTGTACACCAGACCACAGTTTCACCAACTCTTCAGACCGGCAAAGGCCAATACAATCATCAAAATAAAGATGAGCAACCTCTGCCCTCATCATCTGCCCCTCCTGACCTCCTTCCAAATCAAATAAATGGTTGGTTTTTGGGAGAGCTGTTCCATGGTGTTGTCCAAACGTACAAATGTTTGTGTCAATACAAAGAAGGAAGTGTAAGACAGGCATGACAATTTTTCCAGGAAAATAGCTACAACTTCCCTTCAAAATTTCTAGTTTCAATGATTACTTTTTTGATGGATTAAAAAATAAATCCTCCTCTGAATTGATAAAGCAGAAAAAGTGAAAATAGTTTTCATTGTTGACCTTCCATAGCACGTGAAGGTTTAACACAGAATTAACCTCCAGGGGCAGAAGGAAGGATGAACAGTTGCAGCAGTTTCTGTGACGTTTCATAGCCTAGAAAGGCCAAGTCTTCCAAGTTAAATTTTTGGAAGCAAGAGCTCAAAACACTACCATTGTGACCAAGGAGACAAGGAGAAAATAGGTAAGTGCAGCACACACCTCTGGACTGCCATGAGACCCTGGCTGCACAGAGCCATAATGTGAGAGCTCCACACTCAGCTGTCCCCCACGTTTATATATATAGTTCATTTCGCTCCCTCTATAAACTATCTGGAATAGAATCTACAACTACTCTTTCTTTGGAGTTCCCAAAAAAGCTTTTCTTTCCCTCATTGGGGCACAGAAAGTATTACTCTAGAAATGGAATTGAAAAACTTGTTTCTCCTTCCCTATTGATAAAAGCCACTGAGAAAGTGTTGTAAAACATCACCAGTGCTGCCTGGCTGACCTGGGCCGAGTTATAGCTACCAGGGCATAACTGATTGCTTTAAGCTCAATCCAATTGATACTGTGTTGGAGGTCTGTTCTTCCATTAACCTTGGATGAAATTGTTCCCTGAATTAGCTTCCTTGCTCTTGAAAGCTGGCATCAATTTTCTTCACCAACCCTGTACTTCTAAGACACCGTGGCCCCCCACATATCCAGTGGTAAGAGTGGGAGCGTGGCTGGAACGTGAGGCTGGCGCATCCCAGCTTTTGGGGAGGCTCCCAACAACCTGCTGGAACAGGACACCCTTTGTTCTTGGGTGACAACACCTTAGGAAATCCAAGATATAAATAAGACTGTCACATGGCACCAGTTTCTGAATTCTCTTCTGCAACAGAAACAAGGGCACAGGGAAAAGAGGAAGCTTTGTCAAATGCAAGTTACTCCTACGTGTGACCTGTCTTACATCGTGGTTACTGAACAAAAGCCTTTTCCAAGAAAGAGGGTTCTGGACAATTACAATATAGTTATTGGCCTTCTCTATCTAGGAAAAAAAACTAACCTGGAAAAGCCTGCTTAGCAAAACGGCAAGCGTGGAAAGCTGAACTGCCTCTGACAGGATGCTCAGAGAGTCGTGCAAAATAGGTCCCCTTCAGAAAACTCAGTAACAGAGAAATTTAAAAAAGCCAATGAATTTCTGAAGTCTTATGAAATAATGAAAACTTATAATTCACCTCTGTGTGACCAAAAATTCATTTTAGGCTTACACATTGTGTCTCCTGCTTAGCAGCTGCACTTGCTGTTCTAGTGCTGCACTGCCTCTTGCAGTGCCCTGAAGAGACGCAGTCACTGCCCCGAGCAATTTCTAAACTAAACAACTCCAAGTCTCTGGGAGCATCTTATTCCTGAGCTGCTCACTGCAAACTGCTTTGCAGTCATCCAGATGATATGTTTTTACTGAATTACACAAGATCCATCTTGAAAAGGCTTAAATGTTTAATTTGCTTCACTCCATCTACTAAATAAATCACAAGTGGCTTTTTCATAATATAAAATGTTGAAGGGAAATATATAAAAACGTTGGAACACAGATAATTTCAAAACAATCTTCCGGAGTCAGACAGTTGACCAGCTGCAATACATTTTGTTTGCATCTGAACTTCTAAGTAGAGAAGAGCAGCTGACTCTGGAAGAACTCACTACAAAATACTCCTAGTGTGTTTTTGGTATATGTGACATTTTAAAAGCATTTCATAATTTAATTGGAAATTAAAATACTTCTTGTATATAATATTTTAAGGTAAAGATGATTAAAATTTATTCATTTTAATATTTGCTCATATTGCAGAGCAGTATCAGAAAACACTTCTGCATTACAGAGAATGGCATAAAAATGCCAACCCACTAAAAAAAGTAAGAATGTGTTGGTGGTCAAGAAAGAAGTCAAAAGTAAAACGTTTCTTCTCCTACACTGTAATTGCATACAGTTATCTGTGTCTCATCAGAGGAACTTGGCAATGAAAACCATTCAATCTCACAGTTGGTGTAAATGAACATTATTTACAAAAGGAACACAAGCATTTAGACTTGAAATAAAAATTTAACTTCTTACTAAAAATTATACTCACACCAAGCAATGTTCTCTAGCACAAACTACAGCTCTGAGTCCAATCTTTGGTTTAAAGCAATAGCTGCAGATAAAGCAAAGCATTTGAGTTTAAAGATCTGCATAGCAAGACACATACTGAGTTTTATATTCACTCAAGTCTTCTAATAATTTCACTTCCTCTTCTGCTTCCCCATGGGAAAAGAGCTTGTTCTCCTTGCTCTTTACACATTTAAGGAAAGGATAGTGCAGTTTCTCCTCCTGCAGCAGCAGCTCCAGGCAGCTCCCAGGCAGCAGCAGGGGCTCTCTCCCCCAGGGTGCTCTGGCACAGCCCTAAGCAGCTCTGCAGGAGGACTGGGCCCACTGCCTCTCTCCAGGCAGCAGAACCACATTTCCTGCTGGGATACACAAACCCGGCTTTCCACTGTTCCTCACTCAGACTGGAATTTCAAAGTACCTTACTAAGCCTTTTTCTAAAGGAGTTTTTCACCTTGATATGCAGATGACCTACTCTGTATTTTTCACAGTAGAGTCACAGGAGTCCTACAGGCTCTGATTCTGTAAGATCAGCAATATAATCTGGAAAAGCTGCAGAACACGAACAGGCTGAGAAGGACAACAAAGGATTCACAGAACAGTGAGCTCTCCCACCAGAGCAGCCAGGGACACTGCACAGTAACTGGGAAAGAAACCAGTGAGAGCCTAAACCTCCCAGGCAGCACCTCTGCTACACCCCAAAATCCAGACTGGAAGCCAGGCCAGCACACAATCCCTCAATTCTAGTCAGGTTAAAAGGATCAGTAAAGAAGATAAAGATTTATTTACATGTGGAGAATACTGAAAAAAATAAAGGGGGACACACACACACAGGACACGGGACAGGACTGTGAGTCAGTGTTCATTTTGTTTGACATTTAAATGGACAGGCAATGACTTATGTACAAATGATTATAAAACATGGGTCTATTTCCTCCTTCCAGACATCAACATTACAAGTCAGTGCCACTGTGTTAGTCCACAATGACCACTGACGTCAAAAAATATCCATCTTCAGCTGGTTTTCCATCAAGCTTTCATCAACTCTAAATAGCTGCTGATATAAACTGAACACTGTGCAGTTATATAAGATAATGCAACCAAAATATCTGCCCAAATGATGTATTACAAAGTATTTTAGTCACATGCTAAAAATATCCTGCAACAATAAAACTATTAGAATTTTTTTAAATCAATCTTCAGTGTTTACTTTAAAATTCGCATCTGTAATATTTGGGTTAGTTTATTTGTAAGGTATATTTTCAAAATTGTATTAGTATTTGGAAGTGGTTTTTCCTAACACACTACACTTACATAAGATAAACATAAAGTACTTACACCACTCCCAGCATATCGAACAATAAATAATAGATTCTTCTGACAGGACTTTGATGACCTGGCAAAGCCCGAGCGCTTTCAGCCAAAATCATATGAAACCATAAATCACTCCTTATTTTATAGAATATTTCAAAATGGATTCCTGCTTTCTACCTTGAAAGTCATTTCATGTGTTATTTATAACCACTGAAAACCAGAATGGAAAGAAAATTGCATAGAACTAGAATATTTACTGTGACTGCTTTTATAAAGAATAACTCTTTTTTTAGGAAAAAAAATAGAATTACTAGCAGACAAACTTGTGAATACAACACCTTTCAATACAACACCTTTACAACTTTCCCAGCAGTTAGCACAGGTCTTGGGGAGTGTCAGAGACAAGAAGTCCAGACTGAATACAATCCAATTCCCTGAAGAAATTCCAAGGTAAACATGACCCTGCACCTGCATTCACACCACTCTGCACAGCCACAAAGTTGCAAATCTTGGCACTGACAGGGGTTTCTGCCCGAAACTCAGCACTGCTGAATGTTTTGCCTATGAATTTTCCTATTTCACAACTGTCCAAAGACAAAAGGTCAGCCACTGACCCCCAGTTTTGCTTTTAGACCAAAAATCACAGAGAAGAGACCTTCCCAAACAGCAGAGCTGCCCTGAGGACTGATGATCCTGGAGAATATCTGCTTTGGCCAAGAACTATCCAACAAACCCACTCCTGCCTGGCTGATGGGCAACAGGAGCACAGCACTGGGTTCAGAAAGCAGCAGGGATGTGAGAGACTGGAGGAGGCAGGGAGGGGAGAATCACTTCAAGGCTGCACCAAAAAAGGAAGTAAAGAAAAACAACATCCTAACAGCTTTAATTCTCATATTGTGTTGGCCACGAAAAACATCAAGATATGCACACCAGTTTCATGTCATGAGATAATCCAGTTTTCTTTACAACTATGGATGTCAATTCCATGCTAGCAGCAAAACTTCAGCTGCTGTACCCACCAGGATGAGTATTTTTGTACCCACATCCACCCTGCTCTAAACTTGCTCATGCAAGAAAATATCTGAGTTAAGGAAAAGGAATTTCTTCTAAAAGAAAACTTCCTTTTCCCATAGCAATATTGATGAATTAATTGAATCTAGATATTAACTGAAGCACTGATGACTACAATTTAGTTGAGGCTCCATCTGCACTAAGCTCACTACAGGGAAACAGTTAAATGAGCCTGAAATAAAAACAAATCCAAATCTTATGTTACCACTCAGTCTAATTACTAAATTTAATAGATGCACAAGTTATAAAACCAGGAAAAGGCCACACATGCAGAAATTAATACAATTACTACAATGCATTAAAAATACCATTAAATTCAAACATTCTAATTATTATGGTATGACAATTGCATATTCATAGATACACTCAGCACTGGTGACACCAATAGAAACCAGAGAGTTGAAGACTAGGCTAAAATATTCCCTCAGGAGTCACTTCCCGAAGAGAAGAGAGATGAAACTTCTACTCTGAACAATCTTCCATACTGAGAAATTTAATACAGATTAAAAGTCCTCAGTCAGTCATCAGTGCTAATCACCACTTATGCATGTTCTCAGCAAAAAGGAATGCAAAGACAAAACAACTCCTAAAGTGCAGAACTCTGAGAATCTTGGAATTAGTTAGAGCAGTACTCTCTACAGGTGGGCAAAAAGGCATCCTTGAATATAAATCAACACCCCCAAATACAGCAGTATTTCAGAGAATTTAGCTCAGAGAACCTCCCTCCTGCAAGATCAAAGCTCCTGTTTCACACCTCACTCCAAAGCAGGGAAGATTGGGTTTGATGGCTGCACATGACCTGCTCTCTCTGGCACAGACAGTCCTTGTTGCCTCCGTGGCTAGAGAAGTAAATAGCTTAACATTAATATAATTTTCATAAAACTCTGAGTTTATGCACATTTACCTCATGGATGTAAAGAATGGATCATCCTCAAAAATCACAGAAGTTACACAATGTTTAATATTTCACCCTTACAGTTTGATACTTCAGTTTCTTATTATTAACCAAGCTCCTCACACACTCAAAATGACCTCAAATCTGAGCACATATTAAAAATGTCAGAGTCATTACTGCAAACCACTCCACAGAACAGGGTTAAGACACAGAAGGGATCTCTTAATCTGCTCAATAACTTAAAATTTTAATTTTTAGCACAGTGTTGGTCAAAACAATGGGGGCAGTATGGTTTTATAATTATTCAAAAACTCCAGATATAAATAAGAACTCTTTTAAACAATTATACATACACTGTATACAATGTATACAATGTTGCTTTTCTCTGCTGAACACTGAAATCAGCAATTTCTTTAAGAAATTCATTCATTCTATTCCAAAGTGCTAGGAATCTTAACTCCCATGGACGTAATTTCACAGATCAGCAAACAGAGTTACTAATTTCACATGGAAAACAGTACCATTTGGGAATGCCTTCCCATTTGTGCTCCAAACAACACTCTGAGCTCTTTACAAAGGCAAACAAAATCTGACTGTTAATTTGGGACCTATTAACAGTGATGCACTTTAAGACTAGAGCTCAATGCTGAATTTAAGGCTTATCAAGATCAATCTGAACCAGGTCAGTAGAACCCAGTTTGCAGAACCAATCTGAACCAGGTCAGATTGGTTCTACAAACTGAAATTGGTTCTACAAACTGTGTTCTACAAACAGAAATCTATTCCAATAATTCAAGATTATTTTGCTACACAAGCACCAAGAATCTTAGTTCTGAAGGAGTATTAAAAAATTTCTCTTGGTTTGTGAGACTGTGGTAAGTTACAGTGAGACACTCCAGGCCTCCATCATTATTCACCTGAATAGGATGAAGTTGCACAGGATACAGAAAGTGCAGAAACATTAGAATTAAGTGTCTGGAATACGCAAGCATTCATAGACAGAGAAATGTGCTTTAATTAGAAAGAGTCAAAAAGTTTTGTGTTATTTATAAAGCAGGCATAGAAATCAGAAAACTGACTTAGAAGATTTAAAACTATACTTGTATTGCAGAATATGATAAAAAACATATTATCAGCCTATAGCACATATACTGCAATGAGACAGAAGTTCAGCTCTTCAGAGCTATTTTCCCTGCACAAAAGCAAACCTGAGGAGCAGGAAGGTGTTTCGGGATAAGGGCTGGCAGGGCAGGCAGAGTCACACGGGGCTTTCCGAGGCACCAGAGCAGCCCCGATCTCAGCCGCGGGGGCAGAGGTTTGTGCCCGCTCACAAGGCCGGGGGTCCTGGCAAATCCCTCTCAGGGCCAGCCCCACACGGCCCTCAGTGATAACTCTATTTTTACGCAAATCTGGCCACTGGAGTGTGAGCAGCTCCCCCACAGCGGGCTGCGGTGCCCGGGACGCCGGGAGCAATGTCCCCGCCGGTGCCACGGAAACGTCCCCGCAGGTACCTCAGCAGCCACTCGCACACCCTGCCCGCCCTCCCCGGGCGCCGCTACCGCCCCTCAGCCGGGGACCCGCGTCCCCCCGCCGCCCCTTCGAGCTTCGGCCCTTGCCAGGGCCGGCGCTGCCCCTCCCCGTGTCCATCCCGCCCGTACCGGTGCCCACCACCACCACATCGAACTCTGTGGGCAGGTTGTCCGCCATCTTGGGAGGCGCCGTCACGCGCGCGCCGCCGGCGGAAAGGGCGGGAGCGGCTGTGGGGGTTCCGGCGGCCGCGGGAGGCGGCGGAGCGCTCGGGGGGGGAGCGGCGGGACCGCCCGAGGGAGCGCACCGCTCCGGGATGGGGAGCGGCGGGACCGCCCGAGGGAGCGGAGCGCTCCGGGATGGGGAGCGGCGGGACCGCCCGAGGGAGCGGAGCGGCGGGACCGCCCGAGGCAGCGGAGCGCTCCGGGTTGGGGAGCGGCGGGACCGCCCGAGGGAGCGGAGCGCTCCGTGGGGGTGCGGCTGCCCCGTCTGGGGGAGCGGAGCGCTCCGGGATGGGGAGCACCGGCCCCGCCTGAGGGAACGCAGCGCTCGGGGGGGAGCGGCTGCCCCGCCTGAGGGAGCGGAGCGCTCCGGGATGGGGAACACCGGCCCCGCCTGAAGGAGTGCAGTGCTCCGGGGTGGGGAGCACCGGCCCCGTCTGAGGGAGAGGAGCGCTCGGGGATGGGATGCACCGGACCCGCCTGAGGGAGCGGAGCGCTCCGGGATGGGGAACACCGGCCCCGCCCGAGGGAGCGCACCGCTCCGGGAGAGCCCCGCGGTGTCCCGGGTCCATCCCCCTGCAGCCCGGCAGCCCCTCGGCCTCAGCGTCCCTCACCCCTCTGCTGTCCCGCTCATCCACAGACCCGGCCCCGAGCTGCCATGCAGGGGAGCTGCGGGTTGCAGCAGGGAGTATATATACATACGAAGCACCTACATCCATCAATAAGCTTCTTAACTACAGTCACATGGCGGCATTCCACCTACTGAGCCAAACGCGAGTCGCTTCAATGCAAGCACGCGTGTTTTTGTATGACTTAACGCGTCGATTTGAGGAAGAAATTAGGAAATTGTTCCCTGGGAGGGAGGGAAGGCCCTGGCACAGGTGCCCGGAGCAGCTGTGGCTGCCCCTGGATCCCTGGAAGTGCCCAAGGTTGGACAGGACTTGGAGCAGCCTGGGACAGTGGAAGGTGTCCCTGCCACGGCAGGGGTGGCACTGGGGAGCTTTAAGGTCCCTTCCAACCCAAACCATCTTATGAACGCCACTGAAGTTCCTTGGATGACCATTTCCTCAGAAACAACAAATTTCACTTTTATTATTTACTCTACATATTTACTGTTTTCAAAACAGTTTATGTTGTTTTTTCAGTCTTGTTGCTCACTGCTCTTTATTAATATATCCAAGAAAATATTTTCATCATTATTTTTAAAAAGTTCCTTTACCCCCTAGTGCAATATTTTTTCCTTTAGCCAGCATGTTGAACATAGATTTACAAAGAAAGTTATTACTGTTAGAAAGTTTATCAGTCATTAATTTAATGTACTTTCTTGTTAATTAACAGATAGATGTTTGACTGTACTACATTCTCTGCATGCATAACCCTTTCTTTATTCTCAACTAATTCAGTAACTCTTTCATTCCCTCTGAAGCCCAAAGCCACACTTTAGTCTTGCTCAGCCTCTTCTTTCACCTTACAAGGAAAAGAAGGTGGAATTGGATAAAATCCAGAATCTCCTGCTTCAGTGTTGCCCCTCCCATAACACCAATTTGAGTGTAAGAACAGCAGGGTTAAAACCACAGATTTGAAAAAGCCAGATACAGCAATGTAGGCAAAATAACCCAGCACAGAACACCTGTGCCAGAGCATGCTGGAAATTTCTGGAAAGTTTTTATTTTATATTTAATGGCTTATATGGCTTTAAACTAATCTCTTAATATTATTCATTGTGTATGATTATATTAAAGTCTTAGCACCTTAAATCAATAATAACAATAAACCAGCTAGCAGCCTGTTAACACCTTATTACAAGCTCCTTGTTCACATAGCAAAAGAATAGTGAAAATAGTAAAAAGTGACTAATGGAAACCAGAGGCCACGTTATCCCTGTGGTACTGCCAGACGTGCTGGAGCACAGCACAGCACAGAAAACAGTCTAGCATGAAACATCCAACCGTGCAAGAACAAAAAATAGAGATTTAACATCAGCACTTGCTTATTACTACACTGATAAATATGTGACAGGGAAAATTAGGAGTTGTGAATTCAGATAGAAAGGAATATGATCAAGTCTTATGTTCCTTTAATTTATGTTTCCAACTGTCCCAGAGAGATTTTGATTAAAACTTCCATTGTTTTATTGTTTGAGTTTGATTAAAGCTTCCAGGTCCCATGCAATTCCATGGATGGAGCTGTCATTTCTACTTTTTAACATGCAAAAGAAATAAAGCTGCAGAATTCTTACAGTGCTGGATCATCCCTGACCTAAATGTCTTGTGCTGAGGAACAAAGCATCACTATATTGGTTAGATGAGATAAGACAAACTCCCCTTGCACATCCTTTTCCTACTGAGGGAAGGCACACTCGGGAAAGTCTAACATCACCATGAAACCCTTTTATTACTGTTCAATATAATTCTAGGACTGCACTGGAGCAGAGCTATTTTACTGTCAATGTCTTACTGTTTCTCAAGTGCTTAAGTATTTATCCCACCACAAAATGCTGTTGTTTGGTGCTGTGAGTTCCTGTTGGCTTCATTCATAAGATGCAATCAGTGCAATCCTATTTCGTGATGACAGTCATTATCCACTGGACCAGAAATCCTCCTTAGTACTTTTTATTTGACAAAAATGATTATTCAGGATCTTTAGCTGCAAGGTTTGTCAGTCCCACACAACACCAAAGTATTTCTTTGTAGTTTGCAGTTTTAGTATCAGCAAATGTAGAAGTGAAATCTGTAAGTATGAATAATTTTTATGAGAATTTCATGGACCTTGAGAAAAAGTCTTGCCATGTTTTTCTCTTTAGCTATTTAATTGCAATGTCATATTAACAGAAAGCAGCATACCCAATTCTGCATGGATGAATAAGCACATTCAATAAGGAAGATTTAACAGAGTAAATCAAACACTGGATTAAACATTTTCTGCATAACAGACCACAAAATGGGCATTCATTTTACCAATAGATCCTCTACATTAGAAACAAATAGAAATGCACACCAACGTAATTAAACTGCACATCCTGTGCCCTGATTACTGAATTTCCCTATATTTTGTTAAACTAGGTCTCATCAATTAGGATTGCCAAAATGCATTCCAAAGTGCATACTGAAAAACTGAATGTATTTTTTTTAAACATTTGGATTAAATACATTTTCCCCTATGTTTTAGGAAATAATTCCTACGTATGTAATCCTACATATTGCAGAGGATTTATGTGGATTTTTTAGCAATAGCAGTTCAGAAGAGCACACAAAGATAATTTTAAGATCCCACTTTTAGCAGTTCTAAATACTTTTTCTATGAGCAACTTTTCCAACTTTGATCTCAACCAAAACATCTCTCATAAAAACACGGTGTTTTACTTTATGACTTTTATTTGGGATTTTCACGTGTTCATAGAACTACCCTTATTACTTTAAAGTTTGTGTAGTTAATACCTAATTCTATCAAATTGCTTTTCAGAAGTACAGTAATCTGATCAAAATCTCATAAGGTCTGGAAGTGTTTTTATTTTTCCAGATAGGAACACTGAAGTCCAAAAGAAAATTAGGAAGAATCAGCATTAGAATTATGGAGTTTCTAGTTATCTCAAGATCTAATCTCCCACCATTTGATAAAATGCTTCTTCCTCCAAAAACAAACAGCAAATGCTATAATGCTATGATGAATTTTAATTTTCTTGAGTTATGTAGTCTCTTTATCCTGTGGTGATTTCACGTGTGAAATCTCATTATTCATTCTATTGTTCCCTCAATGGATACAGAATTTAATTCTCCTTGAGTACCAGTTTGAATAAGGATCAGCAGCAGGATCGGGCCCATTGGCTGCTTGAAACATCCAGTGAATAATCTGATTTATCCCAGCGAAATGGCTCATTAGTTCAGGCAGTGTTTGTGTGGTGCTGCAGTTGTGTGTGGTTTTCCTCTGGAGTTTTGCAGTTCCACAACTGGCACCCACTCACGCGTGCACCACCCTGATTGTTCATTAACCACAGGAACAGCCTCGCCGCAGTCAGGCGTGTTTGGGAAAAAATTATTTGTTTCCAAATTTACTCTGAGCTCTCAGACAACCTTGATTCCAACTTCCTCTTTTTTACCATTATCTGAATTTGTCTTCCTGTCACAGCTTGCAGTGGTCAGCCTCAGTCATGCCCATACAACTTGTGTGATGTTAGTGCCATTTTGATTACTAAGATGTGTGTAAATTATGGGATTGCTTACAGACACTGGAAAGAGAATTACATGTCACTTGACTTCTGTAACCATGCAAGGCAAAGAGTTTATTTTTTCAATCTTTAATGAATGACTATCTGCAAAAATTCTGCAGGGCTCTCATGGCAGTCAAAATTACCTTGTACAAAGTGAGCACCAAGGAGAAAAAACCCAGGATCACAGTTTTGACAATGCTGCTCTCCCAGTGTACCTGGCAGAGTATGGAAAGAAAATTCCACTACAGTTACATTAAGGATTACCTGTAAGTTTTATGGGTTTCCTAAAACTACAGGTATCCAGGAAGAAGGAGAAAATCTTTGCAGCAGCCCCAAGATTCAGGTTGGTTCCAAGTCCAGGATGCCACAAAGCAGAGTTGAATGCTTTCTGTCCTGGCAGTTCCACTCTTTGTCTATTCCAGAATGTAAAATTCTTGGTCAATTACAATACTTCAGAAAGTGTCAATCAGAAAAAAAGAAAATGATTGGAAATATAAGACTGCCATATGAAGTTGTGTAATAAATGAAGATTCATTAGATTATGATTTTTTAAGATTTAAGGAGGATTAAGTAAAGATGGACAAGTGTGTAATGACATTCAGTTACTGCCTTACTTCATTTGCAATATTACTCAAAGCAGTTTTATTGAATAATGAGGTTTTCAGACTTGTGTTCTCTGAGTTTAGGAAAACTGTACCTTTTCCAGCACATCTGGAGACTGTATCTTAGGTAAGAAATTAATCTCTTTTCTCTGGAAATATTCCCATTCTTTTATATATTGCATTTCTTCTATTCATCTCTTTT